TCTGGATTTATACTTTAGTAGGTTTCCTTCTGAATCTGTCTTCACTTTGAATACCCATTTACAGCCTATGGCTTTACGACCCGGTGGAAGTACTGTTTCCACCCATGTTTCTTTAGATTCGATGTTAGATATCTCTTTCTCCATGGATTCCAGCCATTTTTCACTATCTGGGCCGTTTACTGCTTCTTCAGGAGAGACAGGATCAATGAGAGAAGTGTCACTTTCGATACCTGCGATAGAGGCGAGTGCGACTAACCTATTAGGCTCGCGACCGAATTCCAGAAACGAGTCTGTTAGGCCTGCAAAACGATGGGGGGGTCGAATAATTCGTCCGTGACGAGTCGTCAGGATCCCCTCGTCCCCATCATTTCTTCCTTCCTTATCATTTCTCTCATTTTTGACGATATCGTTCTCATAGATCCAATTTCCTCCCCAAATGCCCTGTCCACGTCGTCTTTCAGTGGGTTGTGGACCTGTATTAGGTGAGTTGTCTCTTTCGACATCATTTCCTTGTTCATTATCGATATTTTCCTGTTCGCCACTTTCTGAGCGGTCGTCAGGTAAAACTTCTTCGTTGACGACGGGGTCTAGGTCCACTTCGATGGCGTCAAGAGGGGTTTGGATGACATCTGGCGACTCTCTAGTCGTCACCATTCGTCCTGTCGAGCGACGAACGTCTCGTGAGTGTTCAATTCGTCCCGATTCGTCCAGTCTAACGATCCAACCGCTCACACCCTCATCCTGACCTAGTATAATGGCTGACGACCCCCTAGGTATCGTGAAGTTCGACTTCAGCCTTATCTCCCTTGGTATCTGAACGAAACATCGTTCACCGAACCTCGACATGCTATCTAGATTGGTGTCTCTTCCTGTGAGTGATGTCCACCCTGATTTTCCAGTAACACCAATCGATGTTTTCATGATTATAATGGCGGCGTATCTGACAGCATAGGACCAATACTCGTTGGGTAGTCCTGAGTCGAATAACATCGTTGATACCATCCCCTTCAAGGTACGTATCATTCTCTCCGCCACTCCATTCAATTCCGGTGTGTATCTTGGTGTGATGTAGTGGTTGATCCCTGCTGACAGGTAGAATTCCCTCATATCGAGACTATCGAATTCCCCTCCCCCATCAGACCTAATCACCCTCACCCTTTCACCAAGCTGTTTCTCTAATTTCGAGATACACTGTCGAACGATATCTGACGATTCGTTCTTCGTCGTTATTGGTATTGCGAATACAATTCGACTCGCCCTTTCCACACCAACAAAGAAATATCGTTCACCTTTTATCGCCGGACCGAACGGGCCAGCAATATCGACATCCATTCCTACTCCTTCACCGTCTCCTCTTAACATTGGTGCTTCTTTATTCTTCGGTAGACGCGTTATCTTGGCCTGCATACAGGCGGGAAAATTATCGGTTGTAAAGGGATCGTTCTTGTAAGTGTCCCAGTCCTTCTTCAATAGTCCCTGTCTACCCAGACTCTTTAGTTTATCTACACCTATATGTCCAAGTCGCTGATGCTCAGATTCAAGTGGTGAAGTCGCCTTTGGTGTCGATATCACAATCATCGCGGCAGACATCGCTCTGCCGAATCTTACCGACCATAGTGAGTCATGTTTCCTCAAACCTAGTTTCTCTTTACCTTTGCCTATCCATCCACCACCGCTGCTTAGATTCGCCTTCCATCCCCATGAGAGTAACTTCGAGAGGGAGAGGAGACTTATCTTTGCTGTGGGGACGTGATGTACATCTTTCAGTACCATTTTCTGTCCTGAATCTAGTTCGAGGTTAATATCACCTGTTTCCCAAGCCGTCATTGACTTGCCAGATGCTAGTCCGAACACTCTCGGTTCCACTAGTCTTTTAATGTTCGTCATTATCGACCTGTGAGGAGTTATGTGGTGAGTAGCACCACTGTCCACTACCCAGGTGGGGATTACACGAGTGTGGCTTACATCATTAGACTCTGTAGCTAATCCCACCCACTCATTATCCTTATCCTCAACCCACGGGTTTTCAATTTCTTCGGGCCACACGATGTTACTCGTGTACCCTTCGTCATCATCGAACCATGATTCTGTCGACATGGCCATCCCGGCCCACGCCTCATGTTCACCATCCAATGACGAATACATCAAGGAGGTTTTGGAGTTATCCTTGGACTGGTTCTCATCCTTCGAGACCGTACGTCCTTTCTTGTTATTCTTATTATTATTCCTCCATTTCTTTTTACCTCCATCCTTTACATCTGCATTTTCTTTCCTGTTCGTATCCTCTCTTTTAGGTTTACGACAGTCTTTCGCTAGATGTCCTACAGTGTCACAGTTATAACACTTTCTAGTTTCTTTTCTGGGCTGACCATCAGAGATATTATCTCGGTTCACCCTCATTCCTTTATTTCCTTCGACGAACATCGCGAATCCCTTCCTATTGGTTCTACCAACAGGGCGCGCTTTACGTCTCGCCGTTTCTTTATTGAAGATCGATAAGACCTTTTCCCAAGTTCTTTCCTCTGCTATGAGGGATGTTACTTCGATCTGAATGATCCTGTAGGATGGTGCTAGAATGGTATTGAGGAATAACCCAGCTCGTTCCTGTGAGTCAAACTTCAACCCTACCAATCTCGCTTCGGACATCGTCTTCGAGAAATCCTCTACATGCTTGGCCATTTCTTCGGCCGTCGCATCGTCCCTTAAGTCATAGCTAAACAACGCTTGACGGACATTCCTTTGATTCTCGATCGTCGCTGTTACATGCAGGGCTATGCAGTAGTCCCACATTTCTTTAGCTGACATCTTCTCAGATATATCAAGCATCACAGCATCCGACACTGTTCCCTTGATCATCCCCTGCGCTTTATTCTCCCTCGCTTGCCACTTTTCCCATTCCTTCCACTCTTCTCCAGTAATCCTTCTACCAGCCACTTGCCCTTCGACGGGCGTGGTAGGAGGTACTGATCCCGCCCTCTCAGCTGCCGATCTAACCCCTACGCGACCAGGTTCGGTATCATTACCTGTGACGATATTCCACACGTCACCTATCTGTAGATACACCTCGATCGACTTCCTCCACGGAGCATACGATGCTGGATCGTGGGATAACTTTGGGTGGTTCTCAAGAGAGATCTTAGACGACACAGAGGTCATTATGAGGAGAGTAGAGATGGGAAACTTGCCTTAGTTATACACAGAGGTATGTGGTCTTCCGACTGTTAATCTGTTAACTTATAATTAGATGATGATACAGAGGGGAAAAAGAGCATGCATCAATTCTACATGTCTCTATACTTATCACATTCCACTCACACGCATAAAACCAGAGACGATCGAATAAAGTTCAGAGGATAAGTTGAACGGAGAAATATTCGACGGAAGGGGTAATTCTAACGGCGGTTCGGCCGTCCTGGCCCGATTCTATCGGCTAACACGGAAGTCGGTGACTTTGTCGAAGGTGGTCAATGAGGAACTGTGCAGAACATAGAAGGGCTGCGAGAATAGGAGACTGAGAGATTATGCCTTACAAGGCATCAGAACAGAGGAAAGAGACTCTAGAGAAGTACTTGGAGCTTATGCCTGTCAGGCATGAGAGCACAGGAAAGATAGTCTTGGGGTTAATGCCTGATAGGCTTGAGAGCAGAGGAAGATATGAGAGTGGAGGTTTGAACTTGTGATTATAACAAGTCATTATTTGATAGTGTCATTCATGACAATACATTGGCCCCTTCAAGATCATAAGGAAGGTTGGGAAAAATGCTTTCAAATTAGATCTACCTCCATCAATGAAAGTGCACAATGTCTTCAATGTCACGCTGTTGGAACCATATCCTAAGGACATGATACCAGGTCGACAGATACAACCCCCACCACCTGTAGTAATTAACGGCCAGGAAGAGTTCCATGTGGAAGCAATTGTGGACAGCAGAATTCGACGAGGGAAGGAAGAATTCAAGGTAAAATGGTTAGGATACACAGGAAATGCGGCCTATGACTGGGAACCAGGAGAAAATGTAGAGGAGTTGGCCGTTTTTGGTGAATTTTTGGAAAAGAGGAAAAGGGACCCCAGAAGAAAGTGAGAATTTGATCAAGATCAACCAGACTGGGTCGGAAATGAATGCATACACAGGAAATATAGCTACAAATAGAGAGATATAAACACACTAGAAGTTGGAGGTGGTAGAATTGGCTCGGGGACGACGGGCCGAAGCGGAAATACGAATGACATTGCGGGGAAGAGGAGTATGGGGAGAAGAGGATGGACCGGCGACTGGTTGAGAGGAGGTTAATCCTGTAGGATCACCAGTAGAAGTAAGATGATCCAGAGTTTCATCGGCGGTAGGAGGAGCGTAGTTGGCAGAAATAAGATGGAGAGACTTGTAAAGATCCAGATGTTGAGAGGGGAGAGGAAGGAGAAGGGAGGTAAAGAGGTGGATGTAACCCGAAAGTTGGGTCAGACAGGCGGATTGATCATGGGCAGGAAGGGATCGATAACGGACCGAAGCTGCACAAAGTTCGTGCTCCAGGACAAAGGTAACCTTGGAAGTGACCGTTCTTGCTCCCACGACGATACCTTATACATCAACTTCGACCAAGTTCAAAGGAAAGAGACGGATACCTCACGAAATTTGGACTCGGGATTGTTGGTTTTCACCGAACACTTTGACGTACCCTTAGCAGAACATTTGCCGCAAACACCACCGACTAAATTGCATCAACATCGAACAAGTAGCAACAAGAACTCACGAGGACCAATACAACCAACACGAAAGTCTTCACCACCATCAAGGCAACGTTGACAATCGGTACAGAGCTCACCCTCTAGTCGAACAACAGCACCATTCTTGTTACGAAGGCGCCAACCTTGGGCCAAACGATCGAGCTAATGATTAGGATCGAAGAAACTTGAGAGAATTCGAGGCTTACAGCGTTCTTAAACCACTTGACAGTGGGCTTAATAGCGTTGGTTTCGCGAAAACGATCGAGGGCTTCGTCTTTCAGAGCCGTACAACAGAGGAGAAGGTCATTTTGGCCCAGAGAGTAGCTGACGGGTCAGAAACGCACAGAATTCTATAGGAATCTCACCAATTTCCGAGTCTTTTCGAGCATCCAGAACCTTGACCAGTTCATCATTGACGGGAACCTTGCGAGGAGCGTGAAAAATGATTTCGAGTTCAGCGGGAACCTCGACAAGTCCCTCTGAATAATCAGACGGTGGCACAGGGGACTTATTACCAGGAGAATTTTGATTCTCAACGGCGGTGCCGTGTTCGGATTCAACGGATTTGGCGGGAGATGGGTTCTCACCAGTGGCAGATGGCCCAGCACCCCCTTCGAAGTTAATATATTGCTCGATGACCTCGTAATCGAGATGAGACGATTGTTGATCGCGAGAAGGACCGGATTGATATCGATCCTTAATGGTGTCGAGAGCCCTTCGAGAAGCGTCAACCGTGGGAGTCTGGGTAAAACCAGGAGCTTGGGAAGTAATTCTCATTCTTTTCGTTTGGCGCATGAGATGTTCGGGGTCAACGTCGGGTAAAATTGCCAAGGTAGAGGCCCGAGTGCGACGAGAAGACGAAGAAGGAGACAACTAATCTCGTCAGCCAGTAAGAAATAGAAAGAAGTACATCGACTTCGAAAGGAATTGCTTACAGTACGCTTATTCATGCTCACAGACAGGTCAGAGTTGGAAGGATACGCTAAGATATGGGTAAGATATGGATGGATAATGGTAGATAAGTAAAAAGAACGACAAAGAAGAGGAAAAGAAGGAATGAGGAGGAAAGAAGAAGAGAGAGATGGGAAAGAGACTTGGTCAGTAATTTCTCGATCACATTGGAGGTCCGTGCGGGTGACGCGTTTCATGGCAACCATCACACTAGCGTAGGTGTGACGTCAGGGCGCACCAAAGGTGTCTCAGAACAATCCATGTGAATCACTTGGTTACAGGACTCAGGATCCTCGGCGAGGATCCTTGGGACAGGGGGGGAAACTTGTTACGGGGTAACAACGAATCGAGAGAACTCTACCGAGTTCGACGGATTAGGACAGAAGAAAGCGGGAGTTGGAGGCAGTGCTGCAGTAGGTAGGGACGGGTTTTCCCTTTTCGAGATTTTCCCACTGGGTTTGCTCAAAAGCGGTTTTTTACCTGTCCAAGTACGTACATAGACGCTTGCAGCAGGCCTAAGAAGAGGAGACGGATACCTGTAGACAGTATATAGTACAATCAGCAAAGTACCAACTTTGCTGATTCTTCAATATCATTCTTTGGCTACATCGATTGCAGAGGAGACACAATCCATTAGCACCAGAGACCCTAGACTTCTACGAGACATCCATCGAGTTCGACCCAACCTGCGACCTAGTCATCGTGTTTCCAGTACCGTTACAGCATCCCTGATTGGACTGATTGTCAATAAGAATGACATGCTTTTGGCTGTTTGATGATGTTATTGTTAAGGATAAAGTGAGTGATGTTGAGTGAATATGTTAACAAAAATTAGAAGGAGAAGAAACTTCAATAACAAACCATTCATAATCCCTTCTCGGTGTTCCCCATCGGCGTGGCGGTGCGAGTCGATATCTCCGACTGAAAGGTTTTGGATCCTTCTGCGGTTCAGTGGTTGTATTTCAGGTGGAGAAGAAGTCATAGAGGTATTTGAGGTTGGAAGGAGATTGAAAATGTATAATATGAGAACATTGTAGTTTTTGGGCAAATGTTACTTGACCAACCGAAGCCGTGACGCTTTGAAGCTTCAGGGGGGGAAAGGGGTCATCGTGACCTACTGAAGATCCGCGCCACTTCGAAGAGTCATGGCTTCTTGACCATGACCCACCAAAGAATCAGTTCTCACCAATAACCACTGATGTAGACAAACACAAAATTCTGGAGGAGGATACAGGAGGTGATGAGAGGATACTAGAACAAGCTGTCTGTCAGATTTGACCATGCATGGTGTGAAAAAAGCGGCCAATGCTCCTTCTCAAAAAGGTCAAATAAGCGCAGAAATATGCATCCCTGGCCTCTTCCTCCTGCAGAAAATCATGCAGTACATCTCCAATTACCTAGCCATGCATTGGCATTGAGGACTGGGTTTGTTAGATATGTGGTTCGGTCAGGATCAATTCTTCTGTGGGTCACTGATCTTCCAACAGTCATGCTAACCGCCATGACACTTCAAAGTGTCACGGCTTCCGTCCGTCACCTAACACAAACATCACTCATGAGATTTTTGGACTTTGTCATTCCATCGAAGTGATTTCGAGAAGCTCCGGGTTGAAAATTCCGGCATAAAATAATCAAAGAGGTACGACTGTTGTTGCTAAGGAGGATACTGAACATACATATGAGGATTCATCGGTGTCACGGGCGTCGAACAACTATTTCTTAATAGACCGACGGTCGACGAACCTCGGCTAACTTCACGCTCTGAGTCGTTGTCTCACCCAACCAGGAGGGCGCAGACGTCGACAGGGGTGTAACTACGGCGTACTTCGGCGTAGTTACTCTAACTAGGGTTTTGTTCTACTGATGGCGATGTATCTTGATTTATAGCTATCTCTATCTGTCTTTCACTACTGACAACAATCAAGGATCGCTGAAGAACTTCAGCGATCTTCTCAGCTAATATTATCTACTCCTCCTAGACGTTCATCCAACCCTCTCGCGCTTTGACGTACTTCAACGCACTTCGTCCAACTTCCCCGAGCCCTCGGCCATCCTCTTCCTCCTTCGACTAACTCCGCCTAACATCGCCGCACTTCTGCTCCCATTGTCCCTACTTAGCCTAACCCCGCCTAACATCGCCGCACTTCTGCTCCCATTGTCCCTACTTAGCCTAACCCCGCCTAACATCGCCGCACTTCTGCTCCCATTGTCCCTACTTAGCCTAACCCCGTCTAACTTCGCCGTACTTCTGCTCCCATTGTCCCTACTTAGCCTAACTCCGTCTAACTTCGCCGTACTTGGTGTCAGAAGACCTGAGTTACGTGTAGAGTAAAGAGGTTAAGGCGTGATGGGGTTTTGATGGCCAAAGGAGGGTCATTGTTGGTGGAGTAATCGAGGTGTCACGACGTAGTTCGTGACAATCGGTTCTTGTTTGTTTCTTATCAGTGGTCAACATAGAGTGAGGATATAAGATGCATGATCATCGTTCCTACTTTCCATCCTGACCCATCAACGGCCCTTCCATCGACATAACCGAGAGAACTCAAATTACATCACATACATTTTCTCATGTATACTCGACTCTTCAAGACACTCCTAAGCTACAAACAAACAAACAAACTTCGATTCCGATCCCCGGGATTAACGAATGATATATGGTATTACGTATATAACATTGATCTCAAAATCCGTTTGTGAAAATCTTACAACTTTTCCATTTCTTCAGCTACACCAGTATCATCCCCTTCCCCTTCCCTTCCCCCTTCCATACCTTCTTCTTCTTCTTCATCAGCTTCTTCTCCACTTTCACCTTCTTCCAATCCTGGCGGGACTATCATTTTACCTTTTCCTCTTTTACCTGCTCCACCACCACCTTCTGAAGATTGAGAAGAAAAAGAACGACGCATAGGTTCTGACACCAAATTCGAAGGGGATGGATCTGAAATTCGACGATTATCGATAGGTTTGGATTTTGATTTTGATTTTGCTTGTCTACCACCAGAAGGTTCGATCCATGTTTTCCACCATTGTCCTAATACCCTTTTCAAAGAATCTGATGCTTCGAGGTATTCTATATTTCTGACTATACCTTGCCATGATACTAATCCGTTATGGATCGCTGATTCGAGTGCTAGGTTATCTCCCCTGACCGTTAGTCATATTCGGATTTCCTTCCTCCATTCTAAAGAGGTATAATCTTTAAGCGTAGATATATGATTTCATTGACAATAGTATCAATCATGACCAAGTGAGATATTCATAGTGATGTAGTCAATCGTCGACGATACAAAGAGTATCTGGATGATTACGAATGTATGAGGAATGGGATTGTGGAGGTACGAAAGGGTTAAAAGGGGTGAGGGGGGCTATGAGACGGAAGGGCTGAGTGAGGGTGTAGGTGTAAAGGAGGAAAAGAAGGGGGAGAACGTGTATGAAAGAAAGGAAGAACGAAACTCACCAATACATCCAATGTAACAAAACGCTAAAACTCCCAGGATCAGGTAAAGGTACCCATAAAGTAGGTTTTTCACCTACTCTAGGTGGCATCCATCTAGAACCTTTATAACCTTTATTTTGAGGACTATGACCTGATCCTGAACCTGGTCCTAGACCTGCGGAACGGAGAGGAGGAAGTTGGTTCATTTGAAATGATGTTTTATGAGCGAAGAGAGCGTGGAAAAGACCACTTTGAGTTGTTAAGTAGCCGGAATGGACGTTGAATACTGTAACCTAGACATTAGCTCTTTGGGCTTTATCTCGTTCATAAAACGATCGAATATCAATTTATCCAAAGTCTCATTCTTCTTGTCCTAGGACAATGACATGGTTTCTCAGTCTGAATTTTAGGCGGATTGGAAGAGGAAGGGAGTGGGAGTTGGAAGGGGAAGAGAGTCCGAGTCTCTAGAGGCATGATAGAACGTGTAAAGATCTTTGGAGAGGAAGGAAGTACAATATAGAAAAGAAGTAGAGGGAGGGAGGAGATGAAGGAAGTAAGTGAAATAAGAAGGGATAAAACCGGGGAAAGGAGAAATGGTGGTAAAAAAGAACTCACCGGTATGTCAGTATACCCAGACATCCTACGTCCTGATCCCAAAGAAGGAGGGGGTTGTAAACTTCTTGCTGAACTTGGTGTGGAAGGCTGGACCGCAGAAGAGGGTATAGGAGCGGAAGGAGTGAGAGGTGGGTTGTTACCCGAAGGAGTTGGAGGGATACCAGTACGAGGTGTGACTGATCTTTTATCAAGAGGTATGACTGGGAATCAGCTATGAAACAATTTCGGGTGCTTCAAAGGATACCCCATTGCAGTGCTGTACGAGTAGTGTAAGATGAGACGCAGAACGAGGATGGTATGGAAAGGTGGGAAGAGTTACCAAAGGACTTCTAAGGGATGTTCCTTTCGTCTCTTGGATACAGATATAGATACGAACACGGATCATACGGAGTTCGGGAGGTTTACGATGATGATTATGATTATGATATGGAAAAATAAATCACTCACTAATCCTACAATCCGTAGTCTCATGACTTGTCCAAAACTCTTCTGCTCTCGAATTTAATTCTTTAACATAATGCTTCAATTCTTCTCTCTCATCTCTCCCGAAACCATTCCTGAACCTAGCACTACTGGCCGAGTTTGGGATAGGTATAGGTAATCTTCCTCCCGCCGAACCTGGTATAGGTATAGGTATTCTTTCTCCCGCCGAACCAGGTATAGGTAATGGATCACCTAATCTACTTGCTGAAGGTATAGGAGCGGAGGAAGTATATTGTTGAGGATTTCGAAGTGGTGCAGAACGAGGAGCGTTTGTATAAGGTAAATATCTTCTTGTTACATCTTTTCCTATCCCAATTTCCCTCGATATACCCTCACTTCTCTTGATTCCTGGTAAAGAGTTTCCCTCGTCTTTATCTACACCTTGTAATTGAGCACTTTGAGAAATAGAAGTTGATGTGTTCAAAGTAGCGCTATTAGGTGGCGGATAGGAATAAGATGAAGGTCCTGCCGTCTGTGGTACTCTTAAAGGTGTAGGTGTATTTATATTCAATTCAACTTGTTGTATAGGTGTCGAAGGTTTCGGTGAAGGCCAATCTGGATGAGCTCTTCTTCTAGCTGATGAAAGACCTCTTGGAGGTGTACGATTAGGTATCATATTTGAATTAATCAAACTTGTTAAAGGTGATTGATTCGAATATCCTTCAATGATAGTAGCGGTGGCGAAACCGGTGGAACTCCAACTACTACTATTCGTTTGTGTCAAACTCGATGAGATGGGACGTAAAGTTGTTGAAGATGATAATGATGCTGAACGTGGATAAGGTGAATGTCTATGAGAAGATATCGGGATTGGAAGTACAATAGGTTTAGGTCTAGTACGTGTATGTGAACGTGAAGATGTTGATGATTGTTGAACAATAGGGAATAAATCTGAATGATTCAAATCTAAATGTAAGATACCTCGGTGAGGTAAACCTGGATTGACTTGCGTAGGTATGGAAAGATGAGCGGGGGAAGTAATGGTGGTATTATGAAGATGATCCTGTGGAAAAGAAGAAGGAAATGATAATATCCAATCTTGTCTATTGTTCGGATGATTCGCTTCTGGTGTTAAAGCCTCGAGGCGTGGGGTAGGTATAGGAGGAGGAGGATGATGAGGTATGATTATTGATGTTGATAGTATAGGATTAGGTGTGAGTTGTTGTTCTTTTAATCTTTCAATTTTGTGTATACCACGTCTATTGAAACTACTGCTACTGATGAATCCTTCTTCCTTTTCACCTACACCGACCGGTCGATTGAGGGATAATATAATCTTGGCAGCTTCCGTACGGGAAGATTGATTGGATTTTATAGATTCGGCACTGTGTGGACTGTGATCAAATCGTTCTTGATCTTCACCACCACTACTACTTTCGTTTGAACCTATTCTCTTCCTCACTCTCTTATCTCTCTTCTTTCCAGGTCGACGTTGACGAATAGGTCTAATAGTGGTGTCCGTATTCGTATTTGTATTCGTATTCGTATGGGTCAAATCTTCACTTTGCTCGACGTCACTATCAACACCTTCTCTGGCAGTTTGATAATCACCCGAAGTATTGTTGGTGATGGAATAAAATTGAGTGGGAAGATGTTGTTGTGAACGTATTGGACTATCAACATCCATCATCATATCTTCTTGTTCATCATTCATCTCGTACCCAGGATCTTTCTTTCCCTTTTCCACCTCTTTTTTCTCACTCACAAGTATGTACTCGGTGGGCCGGTGGCGTCAACTTTTTCCCGATCGGTACTCTACGGGTACTTACTCTAACGCGGCAGAGACGACTTGGCCCTTGGCCCTTGAACCCCTGAAACCCGTTTGCTTTTATTCTCCTAAAGAACAAAAAGACCCCGATGATCCGTTACTCTTCCAAGAGTCGTCGTCTGTGCACACAGGTACCGACTATGTACCGCGTACCGGTGACTGGCCCCTTTCGGAACGGAACAGTCGAAATCCCACAAAAACCTGGGCTGGGAGGTGACTTCGAGGCTTATTGTTCTTCTTTCCTTAAATCGCTTTTTGTCTTTGTACGATGAGCAATGACCCACGGTCGGCGACTTCGGCGAATTCAAGGGCAACGAACAATACACTTGTGGGTTAGGTGTACGACAATTCGAATCTCCACGAAAGAATGAGAGATTATCTTCCTATCCCACGTATGGGAAGAGAGATGGGGTAAGGTATGTCGAAGGGTTCTTGGAGGGGAATTGGGATGGATCGTCGTTCGAAAAGATGGATAAATCAAGGTTTTCGCTTTTGTCTCTGTTCTCGTTCGGGAACTGAACCAAGGTACAATAGGCACGACGAGAACTACTGACTAGGTCAAGCGTAAGAAGGATGAATATCACTTGTTTACACGAGAAGCTGGTCTCTTGCCAACGTCGGGTACTAGATAGTTGTAACGGATTATCGGTGAGAGGATAAATTGCCAGTGGCGATAATTGATAGAGTTACTAACAAAGTAACCCCTTACGTGGACAAATTGATGATTGAAATATACTCAAGAGACGATGAAGGCTGACGAATCAATACGAAAACATAGAATAATCTAGTAAAGATGGAAGGAGAAAGAAAAGAAGCAAATTGACTTCATAGCTTATGTGATACGCTTATACGACTTACAAGAATGAGAAGAACAAAGGAGGTGGAAGAGAACAAAGGGTAAGTTTGGTCCATATATTTCCCTTCCCTTCCCCCTCTTGCCCTTGTCTACCTTACTATCCCTCCACTTTTACCCGTCCTAGAAAGTCATATGAAAAACAATCTTCGGAAAGACCCTTCCTGTCAAACATTTTGAACACTTTCATACGATTTAGTCGACATTTAACTTTGTCACATTATCGGATCAAAGAGAGAATTGACATTTCAGATGTTATCACAATCAGAAACATGATGATTCCTTCCTCGCTTCCATCACTTAAGATTATGTCACAGCGTTCATTCATCCTGTTCACGATACTACACCATCAGAACATCAAATCGATACATCTTACCGAATGATAGACCCATATTGAAGGATTGTCCGAGAAGGTGAGATGAAGGGTAAAACGAAAACGGTAATCCCGACATCATCGAAGGACCTACCGACCGGAAATAAGGAAGTCTAGACCGAAAGTCGAGTCTATGACCGAATAGCGAAGGACGTTTAGAGCGACTATCGAAGGATATCTAAAATCGAGACTTTACGAAGATAAAGGGAAAGGATAACATCCTTTGTCCTGTATAGCCTTTGAGTTTAGTCGTGGGAGAAATAACAATGTGAGTTTTTTCTCTCGATTCGGATCCCTTGGGCATTATACGAGAACCTGAATGCGGTGGATACGACGTACTGTGCGAAGTATGAGGGGAAGTAGGGTCCTTATGAAGTGGAGCGAGAAGAGATAGAGATAATTTCTCACTTCGGTCATTTCGATTGTTTCTTACTTTAGGTCGGAAATATGAAGAACGTGGTTGAGGATGCTCCCACGCCGCTATCTGTATGTTCCTTCTCCGGCTAGGGGAGAGATAAGAACAACTGGCTTGATGGAAAGGGAAATAAGAGGTTTCGTATTTTCTCACGTCGGTCTTCTCTCCGGTCATCTATTCAAGTGGGGGATAGGAGAAATGGGTTTGAGAGGAGAGAGTATGAGGGGAAATTCGTTTGGTTCTTACCATGGTCCAGTCATTCTCCTCTTCTGGTTGGGTGGGAGGTAAAAAGGATGGATTTCGAGGGAGGAGGGGGGTGGGAGGATGTTTACGACTTTCCCACGTCGATTATACAACATCTCTTCTCTTCTGGTGGGAGATATCAAGGACGAGTAAGATGGGGAAAGAGGAGAGGAAATTTTATCATTTTCTCACGTTTAGTCTTCCAACCTCTTTTTTACTATGTTGGGAGATGGGTCAAAACGGGTAGGAGGGAGGGGAGGGGAGGGGAGGGGAGGGGAGGGGAGAGGAGAGGGAGAGGGAGAGGGAGAGGGAGAGGGAGATTTCAACTTTCCCACGTAGGTCTTCTAACCTCTTTTCTACCTCAATGGGCCATGGTTTGAAAGGGGTTCGAACTTGTCAGAGAGGCGATGAGATGAGGTCAATACGGTCGAAAGGAGAGACGAGCGTGTGAGACTTTTGGAACAAAGCACAAAGAGTATAAGATGCAGGGAAGGGATTGTGATAGCTTCCCCCAAATTTCAACTATTTTGACTGAATACCCATCATGAGTCAAGGCAGTCAGATTGACCCACTTGTTCCACGTGTTATTGCCCTCCAATTCATCAAGAAGGTTCCGGAACCACCAATTTTCGGAGTAGATCTCAAAGCTCACAAGTCGGAAATAGTCACAAACTATGCTTCTGACCCAGTCATTTTGTCCTTACTGGGACCACGTTATGTTACTGACCCTTTCAGAGTGAATGGCAGAAAAATTCCTGAAGACGTTGAGAATCCAGATTGGTGGGGGGTGTCCACCCTCCGTAGTCTTCCTGAAGCTCCTTCCCATCTGATTGAAGCAATTGACCTTGAGTGTGGCATGTTCAGTGACAAATTTGAAGAGATCAAAGAGAGTTTTTCAAGGGGCAGCGGACAAGTTTCCGGGATCTGTGGTTGAGGTGTTACCAGCAACCTTGATCCGTCTACACTATATCCAACGTTGTTGTGATATTGTGGAGGAGGTAGCAGATAAGATTCATACTGACTGGAGAGATCTTATTGAACATATTAACCACCTCACCTCACGTACACAAGCGTTACCAATGAAGCAAGATCCACTGGATTCTTACATACAATGGGGGGAAACATACACAACCAAGTCTTCTTTGTTGATGTCAAAGTGGAACAAAGTAAACAAATTGGCACTTCACCGCTTGTATGACATGGTGGATACTGCTACTGCCCAACACAATACTGTTCTACAAGGTTTTGGAATAGAGCCCTTGCATGAAGAGGAAAGAAGAGAAAGAAGACGGGGAGGTAACTTGGTCAGTAATTTCTCGATCACATTGGAGGTCCGTGCGGGTGACGCGTTCTCATGACAACACTTACGGTCACACAAATACTCAGTGATTGGTCCAAAGCTTTGGATCATACTGAGAACAGAGGATATGAACCTAAGAAACAATCTGAAATTAGTTCTGTCAGGACAGACCAAAGTGATCGGGTAGTGTTACGGGGTAACAACGAATCGAGAGAACTCCATCGAGTTCGACGGATTAGGAAGGAGAACGGCGGGAGTTGGAGGCAGTGCTGCAGTAGGTAGGGACGGGTTTTCCCTTTTCGAGATTTCCCCACTGGGTTTGCTCAAAAGCGGTTTTTCACCTGTCCGAGTATGTACATAGACGCTTGCAGTAGGAACTGAGAGGAGGACACGGATACCTGTAGACAGTATATAGTACAATCAGCAAAGTACCAACTTTGCTGATTCTTCAATATCATTCTTTGGCTACATCGATTGCAGAGGAGACACGATCCATTAGCACCAGAGCCCCTAGATTTCCACGAGACCTCCATCGAGTTCGACCCAACCTGCGACCTAGTCGTCGTGTTTCCAGTACCGTTACAGGTAGGCATTACTCCTCCTCCTGCACCTAACAATGTAGAAGTTGTCTCCCCCGAGATCATAGACGATTCAGACCCAAGCTCTCCCACTGGACCTCCTGATATGGTCTCTGCCACACCCGGCACGGGAGTCACAAGCTATGCAAATGTTGTCAAAGAATCAACTGAAAGACATAATACACCCACCACCATCACCATGGAGAGGGATAGAACACCTCAAGGAACTGGTAGTGGTCCTATTACTGTAAGACCTGAATCAGTGGAGTTAGAACTTACTGGCCCTTCTTTGCCTGCTGAGAGACCATTTGAGCAGCGTCCCATTGAAGATGGGTCCCCCGATGGGTTCACTACGGTCACTTACAAAAAGCCAAGTGGCCGGGGCGGGAGTAGCGGTCGACGTCGTCGTCGGGCTCCTCATAGTGGTTAGTACTTGGCCAGGTTCTGCCTAGTAAATAACATGGGTCAATTGATGCACTATGCAGATATGGGAGTAGTGCACTACCTCACATAGTTCTGAAATGTGTGAGGTGTCACAAGATTTGGATGTGATCCACAGGGCTTGAGTATGATGGTATATAGCAAGCTCTAAATTTGATCACTGCTTTGCTTCCATTAGGTAATCACCTGAGCATGCCATGAAATATTGAGACCACAAGTAGGTCATTTGATAGCATTTTGTCTTGCCAGCTGAACAAATGGCAAATGAAAACAACGCACCAAGTGTCATAAGCTCCTGATTGATCCATACAAAAAAAAACAGTTGAACCGTTTGCAGAACCTCTCATTGTCTGGTGTTTCTTGGTGGACTTGAGTTTTCCGACTCTCCTCCATTCATTTGACATTCCTTACGCTCCAGTGTCATTGTGTCATATACTATGAGAGATTAGTAGCTTCTAGTTGTTGACCAACCTAAATGGTCTGTTTCATTTGGCTAGCCGTAATCCATCAATTCTATCTTGTAGAACAACATGAGGTCATTATAGCCTCAACATACCGTAGCTACTTAGACACCCAAAGTAGTCCTGGTAATATTATACCTCTGTGTGAAGCTGTGTTTGTGTTACGGGCCAACAACGACTCAAAGCATATTCATCCAACTTGGTTAATCAGGATAGGGAAAGGCCAGATTTGGAGGCAGTGCTGCATTTAGGTAGGGACGGGTTTTCCCCTTTCAAGATTTCCCCACGGTTTGCTCAAAACAATTTTTCACCTGTCCGAGTATGTACATAGACATAACAGACACTTGCAGCAGGGAGAAAGGAGACACGGATACCTGTAAACGGTATAGTCCAATCAGCAAAGTACCAACTTTGCTGAGTCTTCAATACCATTCTTTGGCTACATCGATTGCAGAGGAGACCCAATCCATCACACAGCACCAGATACACATAGATTTCCATCAGACTTCTATCGAGTTCGACCCAACCTGCAACTCAGTCGTTGTGTTTCTTGTACCGTGAGAGTTCAGCCCATTCTCTGACATACTGTTTCTAGTCATTTCTTATCCTGAAATTCCCACATTCCCACGATCTCCCGTTCTCACGTCCACCTTTCACGGATACGTGCGGAGTTTGATGCGGGTAAGATCTTCCTACACTACATAAGACTCATGAGATCCCCCACCATCCTCACATTTATCACTCATTTTGCCACCTGTTGCAAAGTTGGCATACCAAACGCTGGACCCTACTACTGAGCTGACATTGAAAGTCACATCATAGACACCCAGTTACAGCTTTCCGAAAGCAGGACCAATTAAGATGGCAATGAAAGACATCCCTATCACTACTGTGATAACCACCAACGGTGATGATAATGATAACCTCACACATGTTGGACCACAGGACCCAGGTCACAAAGATTTGGAAGTATTCTTTGCCACCAACGCATTTGACCTTTTAAGCCAAAAACTGAACAATCTAGAATGCACTACCATACTTGGCTCCAAGCCAGAAAGACACAATGGGACTATCTCTTCCACTTTCCCTCCGGATCCACCGGATTATGAAGCCATGTGGCGTGATAGTTCCGTACACAATAAACCCCTTGACTTGGTAAGACTGCCGATGGCCTTGACCAATGTGGTGCAGAGGATGAAAGAGCTTAAGCCTAGCCTGTATACTGGAATGCCAAGGCTCAATGACTTTGTTGATGGCGCAATAGCATACTGCAACATCATCACGGACAGTACACAGCAAACTGTCCACCTGGCTACCACTGCTTTTAACAACACAGTTAAACCGATACAACAAGATCTTCATGGTACATCTGCAACAGACATAACTCTCGCGGGACATGCTTTGACAGACAATCTGACATTGTGGTTACAGCAACAGACCAATGAAGTCATCAGGCTCCTTGATGAGTTGCAACAAGTGAAGACGGACCTATGGTTCAAAACAGGACAGCATTCGGGTCATTATGCAAACAGTGAAACACGATTTCACGTGAAGGTGACTGAACAAGCTCTTACTCGCATTTCGGAAGATGTAATTGCCGGACTACAAAGGAAGTCCAGTGTGACCTATTCATTGGCATCACAAGATTGGGTGAAAAGGATGACAATTGCTGAACTCACCAGAAAATTGAGCCAACGGAGTTCAAGTCGGACAGCCACGAGCGAGGGGTCAGGTGTAACTCATGAATACCCTACCTACCTTGTGAATCAAGTAGGCAGCACAGTGGAACCTCCCTTATCCACAGCTCAGATGGGGACCTCGCGCGCACGGGTGCAAGTACGCGGAGGGGGAAGTAACAGGTTCAGCCCGTATCAAATCAGGCCAAAAAGCACAAGTGATGTGCCACCGCTGGACCCGGAATGAGGACACCGCATATACCCAGAGGAAGAGAGATTGGCTCATTCAGTATGCACCGAGTGACTGCTTCAGCGGATTCTTGATTTGAGGATATGATCCATATGACATATCAACATCGTAGATGAGCCCCACGGTACATACTGATTGCCATGGGTCAGGTTGGATTGAGAACCATGAGAATTTGGTCAGGCTGAAACTATCCTTCCGGAGTCGAGCCAGAGATCCGTGCGACTTCTGGGGGGTCACTCTCAGAGTTTTCGATACAGAGTTGGGTTCTGGTTCTACTGATGTGACTGTTAAGGACATGGTCAGAGACGTGCACCTCCGGAGCGGCATGGTTTAAGACCCCCCTCTTGAGCCCACCCAGAAAAGCATGCGGCTCCAGAGGAGTCCGGACACCACCAGAGCATTCTCACTCCTGTGATCCCCAAGTTCTCCGCAAACATAAGTCACATTTCAGGTTTCCTGTGGTACCATCTTGTGAACTCTTGAGGTCTTTGCTATGGTCTGGCCCCATGATTTGAGACGCACAACACTACAACAAGCACCTCACAATACATTGCTACTCAAAGTCCCCTTTGTCGATAATGATTGCTGAGAGTGGTGGTTACGCCTGTTAGTTTTTAGCTCTGTAGAAAGGATTGCATGGTAACAGTCACCTGGTAGTTCTTAGCTCTGTAGAAAGCAATGAAGAATTACCAGGGATAAGATAATTTGGTAGTATGAGGTGTCACTTCTCACTATGACATGGATCTCAACTCCCTTGATTCAAGGTATTGGCCATCCTTCTCACCAAATATGGCATGTGATAGTCACCTCTTACATGTGTTTTAGTAGAGCATCCACCCTTTGGAGCAACTAACAGTGTCTTTTAAAGCATGGAGATCCTGTTATTGAAGTTTCTCTGTATTGGAATCTCTAAAAGAAGTGTTCAGCTCCGGAGTGGTACATCTCCAGCCGGGAACAATCAGGTTTGTGCAGCTCCGAGGTTCACCCTGTCAGCTGTGTCTGTTATGTGAGGGACCAAAGGTGTGACTCTTCGAAGCCGCACGGAATAGACTGTGACAGTTGGAAGATGTGACCCATGGAAGAATTCAAGCCGTTTTCATATCACTTTTCAGAATCAATGACCACTTAAAAGATTGGTTCTGGAGAGTCAAAGACTATCTATGTATCCTCTGTGAGCAGAAAGGGGTCTCAGGACCTCAACAACCCTGCATTTTTGCTATCACAATAGACAACTTCAGGTTGATTCACTGGCAGCAATGCATCTGTTAGGGACACAGCCGGAGACCAACGGCTCCGGAGTGGCCTGACGGACCCAGCCAGAGAGTCTCATTACCGGGGAGATTGTCAGGACCAGACGTTGGAAATAGTCTGAGTCTATGAGGTATGGCTATAGGGCCTCACAGGGAACAGACCTAGTGATGTAGTTAATAGTCTAGTGTTGAAATACACGTCACCGTGATAAGCGACTCATACTACCAAATTGTTTCCTCCCTGGTAGTTCTTCATTGCTGTCTACAGAGCTAAGAACTACCAAGTGAGTGACTAGTATTATGCATTGCTTTCTACAGAGCTAAGAACTACCAGATACACTTGTCTGTAACTACCGCTATAGCAATCACTACCGACATCTAGTGATGTAATGGATCAAAGAGACTATAAGTCAATGAAATCAAGTGGCAAAAGATTTGCTAAGTGACATGAAGATACATTTGACAAGACATCTACAAAAAAGGGCTGTTTCTATATACTAAAAGGGAGCAGAGTGATACCAAAATCTACAGAGTAAAGATGGGAAACAATATGAGGTAGAAGAGCAAAGGAAGACGGAGATAGATGAGGGACACGGAGATGAAGGGAAAGTATTGTGAGACAAAAAGGTAGCGATTAGGTAGGAAAGGATGACGGAGGATGCCGTAGTAGAATTAGTGAAGCAGAGACGGGAACAGGTAGGGTGGAGTACAGCTTCTGCATACAACTCTGAGGAACCCGTCAAAGATACCCGTGATCCTGACACTTCTGCTGACCCTTGATCCGAGTTCTCAACCGATTTCATACCCACAGGCCTCAGCTAATTTCGATGGTACAAATCGACCGACACAGGTGAGGCTCGGTTGAGGACCGTGGGAATCCCGATGGGGATGGACAGAAGACTGGTCACCTTCTGAGATCCAGGCCGTGGAAGGCGTCACGGAAGCCACACAGTACTGTATGTTCTCACAAACCTGTCCCCACGCCAACAACTTTCCTTCTCATGGTCTGGCCCTTTTTGCAGTGTTTAAACATCTTCTCTGGTCCTACAAGTATCTCTCATGTGAGGAATTGTAAGTTAAGGTTTTGACCCCTCTTATCATAGTTCACCGCCCAGATACAGCTTCAATCGACCTGCAAATCCGTCTTGAAACTTGGACAAGCAGCTTTTCCGGTGACATTCCCACTCCGTTGCCCTATACCAAAAAGGTGCTCACGAACATCTGTGTATTGTAAAGATATCATCCCACCCTCAGGCTTTACTCTTTGGACAATATTACCGTCTGATCCTCCCCTTCTATGACTAAGCTCCCCGCAGGAATGGTCTGCGAAGACACAACTGACACCACTTTCAAGCAGCAAAGGTCACATGTCCCTCTTGTTCTGGCTGCAGCTACTCATTGGCAATACAACAGTCTCCATCATGCGCTCATTGACTGTGAGGGGAGTACAATCAATAGGCTCCCTCCGGTGCTTGATGTACTTATAAACATCGCCATGGGCAGTGTCAAAGAAGTCGGATATTTTTGGAAAGAATGGCACATAAGGGTTGCTAACGGGGCTAATGGCTATGAAGCAGCAAATTCACTACTCACCACCTATTTTAGCTTGATTCAATATCATGATAGGTTGGAACAAGACACATCTTTTGTTCTCTCCGCTTTTTATCAACAATTTGACAGGATCTCTTGTGAGGTGACCGGAATGAGCCATGGAGAGGAGCTGATTCCGGAGCTGGCCGCAGTGGTTGCCTGGATGGCAGAGACCGCTTTTCAAAGCCTTGAACTGGAGATTAGGCTTGAGAGCGCACGACAAGAAAGAGAGACAATGTTTTCAAGACTACATAGTGTATTGAATAGTGTTTTCTTGTCAAGTCACCTCGATACACAGATGGACTCGCTGACTTGCACGCCAACCAGGATTACCGCAAAGGCTTATCAAGTGCTGAAGAGCAAAGCAAAGGAAGCTGAACGGACAAGGGAGGTAGCTACTCAACTTTGGGAGGGGTTAGATGACTGGAGAGAGGTGAAAGTGTCCGAATTGCTGGCAAGAGCCAGAAGTACTCTTCTCGCCAGGGTCATGGACAATCTCGAGTTAACATCAGATCACAGTCCTCTGTATTCCTCTACTGCCAATCAAGATTTTGGACACACTGCGTTTGTAAGTGTGCATTAAGCTCCTAAACACGTTCAGTTCTGCACACTCATGTTGACTATTGAACAGTACAGTAAATACATATTCAGATGATTGAACTGATTATTTCATGGTGGGCGAGAAGCTGATACATGTGGTGTATGGGTTAGGTGACGTACGGAAGATGTGACACTTCTAAGCGTCACGGGTATGATCGTGACCAGCTGAAGATCCGTGGCACTTCAAGGTGTCATGACACCTAGGGTCGTGACACTGAAAAGATCTGAAGTTTCCACAACACCACTGATCAAAATCAACTATGCTTTGGATCTGTAGCTCTTGATCATGATTGGAAAGAGGCTACCAAAAAAGATCCCATGAATACATGTATGAGAGGAAGAAACCGCATTTGGAAATGTTGATGTTGAGGAGGCTATTGCGGAACAACCCGATCAGCTACACCCATCTCCTCTTGATACAAAACAGAAAGGGACGGTCTCTTCTCAGGTGTAAAGTTTCTCAGAGTCTGCGGGATATCTGAGAACATGGTAGGTATTCTTCCGTGGGACACGGATCTTCAGCCGGTCACGGTCATACCCATGACGCTTCGAAGTGTCACGTCTTCCGTACTTCACCTAACACCTCCCTTGGTAGTGAATGAGCTCCATGAAGTAAAATGGCAAAGCTTTCCTTCAAGTTTCAGGTGTCAGCCTTCCTGTGATCCTTCTTTCTCCAGGGAATGAATACATCTTAAGATAAATCACTAGATAACGTAGCCTCTAACCGGTGACCAAGGACAGCAAGTCTGGGTGTCTCACCAGATGTTTGTTCTTTGAAGGGACAGTTGTCAGGACCAGACCGCAGGACCAGACGGCGAATAGTCTGCGTCGATGAGCTGTGGCAATGAGGCCTTGTAGGGAACAAACCTAGTAGTTTAGTGTATTGAAGAGATTGGTATAGATCAATGAGATGTATGTCAAATGATATAACTAAGAGGACACAAAATACATTCAACAAGACATCTGTGAGACAGAACTATGTCTCTTAACAGCTATAGTAAAAAGCAAGCGGAGTGATACCAATGTGGAGATACGTAGTCAAATAGTGAAAAGAGGTGGAAGAGTGAAGTAAGACATTGGCTGATAAGCAGACAGGGAAAGTGGAGGAGTGAAAAGAGGTAGTAAGATAGTGATCAGGCGTAGTATGAGAGCGGGGTGATACCGGCAGGGGAATGGTCCATGGAGACAGGGGGGGGGGGGGGGGGGATGTGTTTGTGTTGGTAGTACGACTACTAGGTACCCGTTAGGTGACAGACGAAAGCCGTGACGCTTCAATGTCTCATGGGAGTCAGCATAAAAATTGAAGGATCCTTGCAACTTTGAAGTGTCACAGGGAAGATCATGACGCTTTGGACGGTCACGGGTACATGACCATGGCCCATTGAAGAATCATCATTCAATGCGGCTCATTGTTCTGGGATGATCAGGTCATGGGTCAGGTATACATATGAGAGAACCTGTGAGAAGGTCTGAGACTAATCATTAATACTGATTGAGTTTTCACCTTGCATGTGGTGAGAATTGTGCCGTTTGGGCCTTTGATAAAGGGGAATGATATAGTTTTCTAGCCTGTCCCCCTACCTGGACATTGTGCAGTAAGGTTACAACTACTTAGCCATGCATAAAGAATGAGTCCAGGCAATGTGCACTTAAGCGAGGGTGAATTCTTCCATGGGTCACATCTTCCATCTGTCACGATGACCCCCATGACGCTTCTAAGCGTGACAGCTTCCGTCCGTCACGTAACATACCTCTTGCTAGGTACCCGTGATCCTGGTACCAGTACCGCAGGAAGGGGACATGATCTGACAAGAGATGTCAGCGAGAAGCATAAAGATGTTGGCTTGACGGAGCCAAAGAGATGCGTGCCACTCAACCTATTCTTGGAGGACAAAGGGGAACTCGACCGGAGGCCTGGGCATGTTGATCTCTTAGCTCGGTCTTACTGCCCTTCCGATGGATAACTGTTCATTCCCAAGTATCTCCAGTTTCTTGGAGCAACATGAAGGCCCTCAGTACTGGCACACATACCCTTTCACCTAATTTGGGTAGCAGACGACTTAGCAGGTGAAAGGGTAGGACATCAAGAACGAACGCACGGAGACGACCCCAAGAGGGAAAGTTGTCTGAAATCGACCGAAAACGTCCCGATCGGCACGTTCGTGGAGCTCACGACCACGTCTGGGGGTGGAGGTGGGTTTAAGAAGTCGATTCAGGCTAGAGGAGTTCTAGTAGGAATAGCAGAGGAGCAAATATCTTGTCCGATTTGATCGGGTCGAAGGCCCATGTCGACTCCTGCTCCACCAGGGAAAGGCGATGAAACTTTCGTGGCGGAGCTGTCGTTCATCTATCTCCCTTGTGGTATAGCCGTGATCCCGAGTGGTAAATGAGATATTGGAAACATCAGAGTGGGTATATAAGCGGACCAGATGGTACCCAGGGGCAACAACTCTTATTGCAGTTCTCGACGGAAGATCATGACAACACCGATTCAACCGGGTGTTACAAACCCAGTAGCAGAAACAGATTCACATCTGAGAGTTGTGCTGGTCTCCAATGAGACTCTTTCCAGCTTAGGGACTTCGGGGCTGTCAGCGCACGTTCGAAACCTACCTGCCTGTTTTGCCTTGAATCTTTTTCATACGGAGGAGAAGCCCTCGGTTCGGGACCGCCAGCGCTACTTGAGCGAGTATTCCGAAATAGTGGATGGGACCCTGCTTGATATACTGGGAGACGAAAATGACAGACTCAACTGGATGGACAGCACATATCTCACGCTTCCGCCATCTCTCACTCAAGTCCCCCATGCTTTCTCAAAACTGAGAGATATCATAAAATTCGCCAGCCTAAAAATAGATGTAGATCTCAGCCACTGCAAACGCTCTCGCCAGGCTCTCTCAGTGACAACGACTATGTCGAACTTGCTACAGTGGTGTGACCGCCTTATTGAACTCAACACGCGGGGTGAAGAGCAGGCAGTTTCTTGGTATCAAGCACTATTTGGGGGAACTTGCAGATTGGGTGAGTTGCACGAGACACTGATGTATGAAGGGACATCTGGTCCAGAACTGGATGCCCTTGGCGCCTATCATAAAGCACTTGCGGTGGCACAATACACGATGCTCAAGGAGCTCTTAGAAGTACGCCAAGACAAAAATGTATGGGATGACAAGGTGAAAGACCTTGCTGCTGGAATGGTGGAACAATTAAATATTGAGAGGACAATTGTGAGATACTCAACTGCTGTGACGGCTAAAATCGACCTATCAGAAGAAATGAATCAAGCCCGGCTTGGGCATGATGAGGCGGTCAAGAAGGTCAACCAGAGCTGGGGATCCGACAAGTGGACAAGCTACTCCTTGTCCATGCTTCTGGAAAACCTTGGGTACCCTGGCTGTGTCAATGAGAACCAGCTCCTAGTCATTCCACGACTAGACAAAGAGGAAGCTGCACTTGACGAGGTCAACCTAACAAAAGGCGCAGAAGACAACATTCCTGCACAAGAGCCTGCACAGCTGTCAGCAGGTGACGAGTCAAGCCTCATCTCATTGGGGGACGGAGGTTCTCAACCAGCCCCAGCAGAGCCCAAAGCACACACTAGTACAGGGAGTACCGCTAGTTATGCTGAAGTGGTGGCAAAAGGGTCTGGTTCAAATGTAGAGCCACCAGCGGCAAGTTCAAGCTCCCAATCAGAGTTCACATCTCAGAATGCAAGCAATGCACATTTGAATACACCAAACGACAGCGACTTCACCAAGGTAACACGGGTAAGAAGGGGAGGGTGGCAAGGGAGGGGCGGGCCGGGAGGCTCTGCTGGGTCGACAGGACAATGATAGCAGCGTGGTCCAACACTCTACTGGTGTTAGGACACTGTCCTAACCCATGTATGTAGGTGACCATATAATATCCTACTGTACCGTATTGTAGTTGAGCTGCAGATGGGAGATAGCAAATGGCCCATACAGACTAGAGTCGCAAACTGATCTTACCGTTTGCACTCACCAATGGTGACTACCGTTTGTGACTACCGACTGAAAGTAACCTTTGTGTTTATAAGTACCGCCTGCACCTACCATCTGTAAGTATCATCCATAAGTACCATCTGTAAGTACCATCTGTAAGTACCATCTGTAAGTACCATCTGTAAGTACCATCTGTAAGTACCATCTGTACCTACCTGTAACGGTACTGGAAACACGATGACTAGGTCGCAGGTTGGGTCGAACTCGATGGATGTCTCGTGGAAATCTAGAGAATCTGGTGCTAATGGATCGTGTCTCCTCTGCAATCGATGTAGCCAAAGAATGATATTGAAGAATCAGCAAAGTTGGTACTTTGCTGATTGTACTATATACTGTCTACAGGTACCCGTCTCCTCTTCTCAGTCCTACTGCAAGCGTCCATGTACATACTTGGACAGGTGAAAAACCGCTTTGAGCAAACCCAGTGGGGAAAATCTCGAAAGGGGAAAACCCGTCCCTACCTACTGCAGCACTGCCTCCAACTCCCGCTTTCCTCCATCCTAATCCGTCGAACTCGATAGAGTTCGCTCGATTCGTTGTTACCCCGTAACAAGTTTCCCCCCCTGTCTCAAGGATCCTCGCCGAGGATCCTGAATCCCGTAACCAAGTGATTCACATGGATTGTTCTGAGACACCTTTGGCGCGCCCTGACGTCACACCTACACTAGTGTGACGGTTGCCATGAAACGCGTCACCCGCACGGACCTCCAATGTGATCGAGAATTACTGACCAAGTTACCTCCCGTCTTCTTTTTCTTCTTTCCTCCTCATTCCTTCTTTTCCTCTTGTTCGTCGTTCTTTTTACTTATCTATCATTATCCATCCATCTCTTACTCATATCTTAGAGTATCCTTCCAACTCTGACCTGTCCGTGAGCATGTCTAAGCGTAATGTAAGCAATTCCTTTCGAATTCGATGTATCTCCTCCTATTTCTCGCTGGCTGACGAGATTAGTTGTCTCCTTCCACCCCTTCCCGTCAAACTCGAGCCTCCACCCAGGCAATCCTACCTGACGTCGACCCCGAACTTCTCATGCGTAAAACGAAAAGAATGAGAATTACCTCCCAAGCCTCTTCCTCTCAACCCCCATTGGTTGATGCGTCTCGACGGGCCCTCGATACCATTAAGGAAAAGTACCAATCCGGTCCTTCTCGCGAACCACAACCGTTCCTTGATGACCAGGTCCTCGAGCAATTTATCGACTTCGACGGGGGTGCTGGGCCTCCTGCCGCTGGTGAGGACCTATCTCCTGCCAAGTCCGTTGAATCCGAACACCCCACCATCGTCGAGAATCAAAATTCTCCCGGTAAGCAACCCACTGGTCCTCCTTCTGACGCTTCCGACGAACTTGTGGAGGTTCCTGAGGAGCTTGGTGACATTTTTCACGCCCCTCGCAAGGTTCCGGTCAATGATGAATTGGTTAAGTTGCTCGAGGATCGAAAAGACTCCGAGATCGGTGAGAATTCCACCAAGTTCTGTTTGGTTCTGATTTGTTAGCTACCCTTTGGTCCAGCCTATCCTTCTCCTCTGTTCGTCTCGCGTTGAAGAACGAAGCTCTGCATCGTTTCGGTGAAACCAAAGCCATCAGGCCCACTGTAAAGTGGTTTAGGAATGCTGTAAGCCTCGAATTCTCTCGAATTTCATCGATTCTAATCATTAGCTCGATTGTTTGGCCCAAGGTTGGCGCCTCCGCAACAAAAATGGTGCTGTTGTTCGGCTAGAGGGTGAGCTCTGTACCGATTGTCAACGTCGTCTCGATGGTGGTGAAGATTTTCGTGTTGGTTGTATTGGCCCTCGTAAGTTCTCGCTGCGACTCGTTCGATGTTGATGCAATTCAGTCGGCGGTGTGTGTGGTGAATGCTCTGCTAAGGGCACTTCAAAATGTTCGGTGAAGACCAACAATCCTGAGTCCAAATTCCGTGAGGTACCTGTCTATTTCCTTCGAATTTGGTCGATGTTGATGTATAGGGTATTGTCGTGGGAGCAAGAACTGTCACTTCCAAGGTTACCTTTGTCCTGGAGCACGAACTTTGTGCGGCTTCGGTCCGTTATCGATCCCTTCCCTCCCATGATCAAACCGCTTGTCTCACCCAACTTTCGGGATACATCCATCTCTTTACCTCCCTTCTCCTTCCTCTCCCCTCTCAACATTTGTCCCTCTACAAATCTCTCCATCTTGTCTCTGCCGACTACGCTCCTCCTACTGTTGAACAAACTCTGGATCATCTTACTTCTACTGGTGATCCTACAGGATTGAGTTCTTCTCAACCAGTAGCCGGCCCATCCTCTTCTCCTCATACTCCTCTTCCCCGCAACGTCATCCGTATTCCTGCTTCGGCCCGTCGCCCCCGAGCCGATTCTAACGCCTCCATTGACTAGTGTGTTTTTATCTCTCCATTTGTAGCTATATTTCCTGTGTATGCATTCATTTCTGACCCAGCTTTGTTGATCTTGATCGAATTCTCACTTTCTTCTGGGGTCCCTCTTCCTCTTTTCCAAAAATTCACCAAAAACGGCCAACTCTTCTACATTCTCTCGTGGCTCCCAGTCATAGGCCGCATTTCCTGTGTATCCTAACCATTTTACCTTGAATTCCTCTTTTCCTCGTCGAACTCTGCTATCCACAATTGCTTCCACATGGAATTCATCCTGGCCGTTAATTACTACAGGTGGTGGGGGTGGTATCTGTCGACCTGGTATCATATCTTTAGGATATGGTTCCAACAGCGTGACATTGAAGACATTGTGCACTTTCATTGATGGAGGTAGATCTAATTCGAAAGCATTTTTCCCAACTTTCCTTATGATCTTGAAGGGGCCAATGTATTTTGCTTCTAATTTTCGACTGGGTCGTTCCGTCGTAAGATACTTCGTACTCAGTAGTACTTGTTCTCCCTTTCTGAATTCTTCTGGTATGCTCTTGTGTCTCCTGTTGTAGTACTCTGCACTAATCTCGTTAGCCATCCTGACCTGTTCTCGAACAGTCGCATGTAATTCTCCCATATCTCTCCATTTCTTCTCCAACCTGTTTGACTTCGATCGAATGTCGTGTGAATGGATGTCGTAGTGTGGCACATAGCGGTAACAGGCTTCAAAGGGACACAGACCGTGGCTACTATGTGGCGAACAGTTATAAGCGAACTCAGCAATTGGTAGAAGTTGATCCCAATTATCCATGTTGTAGTTTACATACATCCCGAGCAGGATTTCCATCTGTTGATTTACTCGCTCAGTTTGTCCATCTGTTTGAGGGTGATACGCAGTCGAATATAAGTTTTTTATTCCTAAGAACTGACATATTTCCTTCCAAATTTCTGCTGTAAACTGAGTTCCCCTGTCTGATACAATTGTTCGAGGCACTCCATGTTTTGAAAAGATCTCCTTGATGTAGATGTCGGCCACTTTGTTCGCTATTAGTCCAGTTGTACATGGAATAAATCTAGCCATCTTGGTTAGTCGATCGACTATCACCAGTATCGCGTCGAACTCGGTCGATTTTGGTAGGGGTCCCACCATATCCATAGAGATATCTGTCCAGGGCAGTGTGGGTACTGGTAAAGAGACTAGATGTCCATACGGCTGGTGTCGATGAGTCTTGTGTCGGTTACAGATCTCGCATCCTTTTACGTATTTCGCAACATATTCGTCCAAATGTGGCCAGTAATAGTCCTCTTTGACCATGGTGATAGTCTTGTCTCTTCCTGGATGTCCTACCAGTATCGAATCGTGTCTTGCTTTCATTACTTCCAATCTTGCCTGTCCCTCTGGTATGACTACTCTGTTTTTATACAAGAGTAATCCGCTCCGTGTCCATGATACTCTTGGTGTCTCGCTGCTAGCCTGTGTCTTCTGTGTGTCCTGTGTGCTCGGTGTGCTATGTGTCTGTGTCATTTGTAGTCCTAGTCGTCGTATGTCTGCTATGTCTTCTGAATCTTTCAGTCCGTTCTTGATGAGTCCGAATAATGAGTCTTCCCGGATTACTCCTCTTACTATGTGGCTTGGTCCTTTGTGTTCTGAGTCCATCGAATTCGATCCAATTTGTTCGTGTGTTGGTAGCAATTGTAGCCAGTTACCTTTGTTTAGGTCTGGGTCCTTGCTACTCCCTCTTCCCGGATGATAATCCCCTCGTCTCGTCAGAGCATCTGCTCCCCCATTTTTGCTACCTGGTCGGTAAGTGATCTCTATGTTGAAGTCTCCCAATATTTCTAACCATCTCATCTGCCTTCGATTTAGTTGTCGTTTGCTTTGGAAGTATTCTAGGTTCTTGTGATCGGTAATGACTTTTATAACATCACTACTGTTAGCCAAGTAGGGCCTCCACGCAACCAAGCAGTCCATGATGGCTAGTAATTCCTTTTCTCCCACCGTGTAGTTTAGTTCACAGGGTGTCATTGCTCGAGACCAGTACGCTACTGGGTGAAGTTCGGTGGTTCCCTTTATTGATGGGTGAGGGAATCTTTGAGACGCTATCGCACCTATCGCGCAGTCGGATCCATCGGTTTCAATCCAAGTCGGTCGGGTTCTATCAAAATGTCGAAGTACTGGTGCTGTGGTGAATGTCTTCTTTAGATCGTCGAAAGCTTTTTGGCATTCTTGTGTCCAGTTCCAAGCTTGATCTTTCCTGGTCAATCGTGTGAGAGGTCCTACAATATGCGAAAACCCCTTGATAAACCTCCGATAGAAATTCGCAAATCCCAAGAACACTTGAGTATCCCGGACTGTCATGGGTTCTCCCCATTCCAGAATAGCCTTCACCTTTTCTTGATCCATTTCGATCCGTTCGTGTCCTATTACATACCCCAGGAACTTTACTTCATTTGAACTCCATTCGCATTTCCTCGGACTGACGACCAAATCGTTTTCCAGTAGTCGATCTAACACTTTTCGAACGATTATCTGATGGTTTTCGATCGTGTCGGAGTATACCGTGATATCGTCGATATAAACTACTACCCCTTCGTCAAGTAGATCGTGAAACATGTCTTGTAGAAAGTTCTGAAAGGTGGCTGGTGCATTACACAACCCGTCCCTTAGGACTGTGCTCTCGAAACTGCCGTATCTTGTTCGTAAGGCAGCTTTATGTTCATCTCCTTCCTTTATTCTGACTAACTGGTAAGCCCCTTTCAAATCGAGTTTAGTGAAGATCCTTCCTGATTGAAGTCGATCGAGTAGTGTCGAGATGAGTGGCATTGGGTATGAATCCTTAACGGTTACCTTGTTAAGCGCCCGATAATCCGTTACCACTCGATAGGGAATCACTCCTTTTTTTGGAACCAGGAATACAGGAGATCCATAAGGTGATTTACTTCTTCGTAGATGGCCGCTGGCCAAACCATCGTTGATCCACTGCTTTAGGAATGCATCCCCATGTTCATCTAGTTGGTAGATTGGTCCTGGTTTTAGCTCTGCTCCGGGGGTCAATTCGATCTCGTGATCACATTCTCTTCTTGGTGGTAGTTTTCTGGCTCGTTCCACTTTAAATAATTTCAGGTATTGGTGCCATTCTGTCGGTATAACTTGTCGTAACTCTTCTTCGCTCATCTCATCTTCTCCTTTTTCCAATGCTGTTCCCCTTACCAATCCTTCCTCCAACCTCGGATACTTCCAACCGTTATCTTGTCCGATTCCGTCGAATTCGATCAATCCCTTTCCACAATCGATCCTTGCCCTAAACTGTTTCAAGAAATCCAATCCCACCAGTACCTCGGGGCCTTCGTATGCCATCACATCCAATCGAGTCGCAATCTTGAGTCCTTCTCCTAAATCCAATTCAGCTTCTACATACTCGGTCACTAACGTCGCGGTTGTTCCATCGAGGAACCTGATCTTCCGTGGTTCATGATATTGTCTCTTTGGGAATAAATGGTATAATGGACAGGCCGGCTGTACATATCTTCCGGTAGCTCCGGTATCAATTAACATTCCAAATCGTAGGGTATCTTCTTCTGTCCGTATTTTTATGTATATTATGGCCGAGTCATTACTGAGATCTATTGGTAGTTGAATTTTGTGCGATTCTGTTAGATCCTGGCCGCAAGTGGTCGCATCACTTAGGCCAGGTATTCGTTTCCCTCTTCTTCAAAGGTCACCGCCATTCCTCGAACTAACGGTCCTTTGGATCCGGTTGGGATCGAGTTCGATCCACTAGGAATTGGTGAGCTATGCGGGTTTGGGGATCCCCTAATGTTGTTCCTCGTATTTCCTCCATTTGGACAGTTGTTGGCGTAATGTTCTGGACTCCTACATTTGAGACAACGTCGGTTCTCCCTTCTCCAAGTCATTTCGTTCTCGCTGAGACGTCCTCCGTCCTCTGTCCAAGTGACCGGAGGGTCGTTTGGTAGACCATAGTTCATCATCCCTGGTTTTCCACCAGGCAAAGGTCCTCTACCAGTCGATTGTGAGTGGCGTTCTGCCGGGTTGGGCGGACTAGGATCCAATCGCATCGAATTCGATCGAGGGGGAAGCCAGGTCATCTCATTTTTGCGTCTAGCAGCCCATCAATTCGCTGCAATCATCGTTTCAGCCATCCGTTGGTTCTCTTCAGTCCCTATCACATGCTGTTTGAAATAGATCCAGTCCGATTTGGTTCGAGGGTCGGTGTTATTTACCACTACCACCTTCAGTAGCTCTTCCTTCAGGCCCTGTATGGCTGAGGCGATTTTCATTGCATCTGGTACCTTTCCAAGGTGTGTGGACCAAAGTTCAAAGTTGGCAAAATACTCGGCGGCGGTATCAGTCTGTCTTAACTCTTGTAATTTCCTCATAGCCGTACCTGCCATGTTACTGTCTCCAAATTGAGTTCGTAAATGCTGGATGAATTTGTCGTAGCTCTCTAGCCATTCGGTCGAATTCCATATACTTGGATTGGTTATGGCCGGGGTTATAAGCATTTGAGGGGTGCCTCGAAGATACCCGTACATGAACAGGATCTTTCTGCGATCGGTGGCGTACTCTGCCCCTTTGAATTCGAAGTTCATGTGGCATGCTTCGACCCAACCTGCGACTTAGTCATCGTGTTTCCAGTACCGTTACAGTGGATCCGCACACCTGGTTCTTCCTGTTCGTTCGTTGTTGGTAAGTTTTGGCTCCAAATACGGCTTGTTTTCTTCGATTTCGATCGAACTTGCCCCTTTCGATGTGAGTAGCTGTTGGTTCTGTCGGTCAGCTTTCATCGTATCCAGTTCTTCCCTTAATGCATTTTGTTCCTTTTGTTGCATCGTCATAATGGCTAACAATTGTGACAACTGCTGCGATAGTTCATTCAGCGGGTCTGGGGTAGTGGTGGTAGAAGTGAGATCATGTGAAATGGTACTTCTCGAAGAACTTGTTGGTATTTCTTCCTCTGGGACCAGCCCTTGTTCCAACTCCTCTTTTTCTGGTATCATTTTCCGCGCTTTCCCTCTGGTGAGCATACAGTACTCTCCGATTCGACCCAAGGTGCGTAAGGCTGATTCTTCAACTTGTAACGGTACTGGAAACACGATGACTAGGTCGCAGGTTGGGTCGAACTCGATGGATGTCTCGTGGAAATCTAGAGAATCTGGTGCTAATGGATCGTGTCTCCTCTGCAATCGATGTAGCCAAAGAATGATATTGAAGAATCAGCAAAGTTGGTACTTTGCTGATTGTACTATATACTGTCTACAGGTACCCGTCTCCTCTTCTCAGTCCTACTGCAAGCGTCCATGTACATACTTGGACAGGTGAAAAACCGCTTTGAGCAAACCCAGTGGGGAAAATCTCGAAAGGGGAAAACCCGTCCCTACCTACTGCAGCACTGCCTCCAACTCCCGCTTTCCTCCATCCTAATCCGTCGAACTCGATAGAGTTCGCTCGATTCGTTGTTACCCCGTAACACTACCATTTGTAGACTGGGCCCTTAACATACTGTCAGGATCACGAGTACCTATAGACGGGTTCCTCAAGAGTTGTACGCAGAAGTCGTACTTCACATGCCCGTTCCCGTCCCCTCTTCACTAATCCCGCTACGGCGTTCTCCGTTCTCCTGTCCTACCTAATTGCTAGTTCTTTACCATGCTATACTTTTCCTTCATCTCCGTGTCCCTCATCAATCTCCGTCGTCCTTCGCTCTTACACCCCATATTGTATTCCACATTTACTCCGTAGATTTCGGTATCATTCCGCCCCCTTTTTAGTATATAGAAACAGCCCTTTTCCGTAGATGTCTTGTCGAATGTATTTTCTCATCACTTAGCAAATCTTTTGCCACTTGATCTCATCGACTTATAGTCTCTTCAGTCCACTACATCACTAGACTATAAACTACATCACTAGGTCTGTTCCCTACGAGGCCCTCTAGCCATAGCTCATAGACGCAGACTATTTTCAACGTCTGGTCCTCACACATACCCATCAAAGAGTTGTCATGTTGTGTAGTCACTTTCAATTCCGTGTGGTTCCTTCCACCCTTCCCTGGAACTTTCTATCATATTCTAGTGCTTTTTTTTACTAGAATGTTCTCCCAGTTCTCCTGTCAGTCTAGATCTGAGATGAGATTAAAAAGGCTGCTTTCCTCTTATGAAGCATCCTCTTTCTGCTCATTTGTCCTTCTACATTGGAGACACTTTTGATTCCGTTTGCGCGTCTTACATGTTGAGCCTTGAGTGTTGCTGACCATACTGATTACATCATTTGGACAACACTCCGTCCTTGCTGGACTTGGGCCCTAGCAGCTGAATAAACAAGAGCATCTGTATTCATAGCGATGGTCCAGGCAGAGGCCAGCTACACCCGGCCCCAATCAGGTCTCACCAGTGGAAACATGTCATTCACACGTGATAGGGCCTTATGTCTTCTCTGTTCATCCGTCATACCGCGCGGTACCTCGGACAGCAAAATGATACAGAAGATACGTTCCATCACACCCTATACCCCCAGCTGTCTTCATTGCGTTCAATTTAGCTAAAAGTAACCAGCGTTATGCGCACGGCTCTCTAGCAATCAACTCTGACATCTTTGTCTGTCCGGGTGATGGAGTCCCTAGTCTTTTCCTTTATATTTATCCACTCACAATTGAATATAAAATTCCAGAGAGGAGGAAAAGCGTTCATCAATTTCGCATGTTTCTATATCAAATCTTATTCCCTTAGGTGCAGCCAACATAGATGTATAGAATACAGTTCAAATGACAACAAAACAAATGTGCAAAGTGAACCAAAGGGATAATTCTAGAGCTGACGCTTCGGCCGTCGATCCCCTATTCGATCAGCTAACACGTACAGACATTAAGGAAAACTACTACAGTAGAGTATCAAAGGAGATCAGCGCGGGGCTCGGTCGCCCGACGTGATCGGGTCCGAAATGGAGGCGATGCAGAGGCGGTGATGGTAACCCAGATCCGCCTTCCGTGCGTGCGCGCCTCCCTTCAGTCCAATCCGCGAGCCCGGGCGGAGAAGGGACAAGAAATTCATGGAAAAATAAAGATATAAACAGATGCACAAACATGGAGATCCCCTGTGTTCTCTGAACAGTGGTACCTCACTTTACAAACTTCTGTTTTGTCGGATTCCCCCATGTCAAGCAATGAGACAGTCACTAAGATCTCGCTTGCTTACACGCCCAAAGTGTTTTTGGACATTGTAGATGGCCCTGAGAACAAGGATAATACTGAACCTTTTGAACATACTCCTACAGGTCCACAGTCTTTGAAATCAAAGCGTGGCGGAAAGAGAAAAGGCAAAGCGCATACAATTCCGCTGAGTGATGTCTCTGAACCCCCACCCTTGGTCCCCCAGGTCATATCTGCCAGGTTTGTCATGCAACTATACTCAGCTCCTCTTAGCAATGCGGATCGCCGGTCCCTGTCAAGTGCCTTTGGCCCTGATCTATCCCACATTGATGGTAAAAGGGCTGCAGAGATACAAGCTGTTGATTATAATTACCAAGACATTTGGTGGGATAGCACAGCCAACAATCCACCACAGTTGTTCAAAGCAATACTAATGGCATGCACCAATAGTTTTGCAGTTGTGGAAGATGGTTTGAAAAAGTGGAGGACAAGATATCAGGGGTTCATGACAATCGAACCAACCAGGCGGGCCAAAGAGGATTTTCAACAGGGGTTAGCCAGCCTTGGGGTGTTGAACCTTTATTCACAGGCTACAGTCAATTACGCAGAGAAAGTGAGCATAGCCTTGAGCCAAGCAAGTCATCCAGTCTTTCAAACAGCAGAAGAAACCTTCAAGGAAGTCACAGGTACCGGTACAAAAGAAGGAGACGCTTTGACAGCTTGCACAAATACTGCAGCCCTGGCCATTTACCAAAACAAACAAGAGATCAATTCATTGCTGAGGCAACAGTTGACTAGCATAGATGAAGTAATCCAACTGGCGTACAGAATCCAGACACATTTGGGCAAGAATGACCCAGAGGACAGTCATTCTGACTCAGGGGACAGTCATTCTGACTCAAATGAGATCCCACCCTGTTTGGACCTTGAAGAGGAAGAGATTCAGAAGAGTGCAAAGGATTCAAATGCCCTACAGGACATTGTAGATATATGTCACGAGACCAACTAACCAGCATTGGGACGATATAACAGTGCCCTTCAGAGGCAGCGGTCTAAACCACTGTGCTAAAAGGCCTATTAACCGGCGGTTACTGCAAACCGTCGGTCGCTGGTTAAATACCCAACCCATCCTATCACTATCACTATCCAAACTGACTTGTCACTTCGTGACATTATGCCTTCCCTTTCAGCCCCATCTGGGGCCCCAACAGGGATGGGCATGATAGGCCGAAAACTTTCTCCGAGAGGGAGGTTTTCCAAGTAGGTCTGGGTTACCCCAGCTCTGTCTGGGAGTCGAACCCAGGACCCTACCCGTAACCGCCGGTTAATCTGTCACGAGACCAACTAACCAGCATTGGGACGATATAACAGTGCCCTTCAGAGGCAGCGGTCTAAACCACTGTGCTAAAAGGCCTATTAACCGGCGGTTACTGCAAACCGTCGGTCGCTGGTTAAATACCCAACCCATCCTATCACTATCACTATCCAAACTGACTTGTCACTTCGTGACAATATAGCAACTGCAACTGCAAACAATAGCTGGGGCAATGAGGATTGGAAAGGTATGAGTGTACGTTCATTGCTACAAGCCAGCAAAGCACAGACAAACAACAAACTTGCAATTAGTTCTTTGTCATCACCTTCTGCTCTGAACACAGATTATGAGTTGCGTTCCCCTACCCCGGAAAACGAACAATCATCCAATGTTTTGAGCGCCGAAAAGACTTCCTATGCTGAAGCACTTTCTGGGCCCCGCCAATCCACCCTGACATGTGGTGCTGACCAGCCGGGTAGTAGTGTATCTGCATCTAACGAGGAAGACTTCTTGCCAGTAGGGCGTAGGGGAAAGCATGTTTGAAGGCATCAGTGAGGATCTGTTCAACAATGTTGGTCCATCCACCAGTTCCCCATAGCTAAAGAGAGCGCGACATAAATGAGGTTGATAAGGAATGCATGATGTCGAGAGTGGTGAATTGATTAATGTCCTCACTCTTCGCTGTTCGTCGGATTTCGCTATTGCATGTAAGGACTGCACTCAACTGATACATATGTACATGATACTGCTAGAGATGTATTGGGTTGAGCAGGCAAGGCACGCCTGCGGACAAAATAAGGTTCGGTGACATTACTCACAATGATTGCATCATGAAGATATCTACCCTTTTGAACTCCCTACAACGCAAGATGATTTCTCCGAACAAAGATCTTTTACCGCACAAGATGATATGTTTTCGAAACTGATATTCAAGATCACTTCTTCCCTTCTCTTCAACCATCGACTAGGCCGCTTTGGCTTTCTTGTCCGTAACTCCCACATCTTCGACAGAAGTGTCAGCTTTACGTTTCTCCCCCGTGACAGCGAGAGGCACTTGAACTTTCTTTTCTTCCACCACTGTGACTTCATCTTCATCAATTTCGTATTCGTCGTCTTCTTCACTTTCGCTACGTTCGACATCTTCGTCTTTATCCTAAATGATCAGCACAATCTACGCATTGCTTCCACATTGAAAGAGACTGAATATTCATATGAACATGTTATGAAGGCATATGAGAAATTATCATTCTGTCAGATCGAGAAAGAGGAAAGGCAAATTGGCAGCTAACAAGAGGAGGGGAGGGAGGTTGGACGATAGACTGACTTTGTAGAAATTTGCCAAGATCTGCTGGTGGTTCGGCTGCTCATCTGCATCTTCATCCTCCTCATCTTCTTCGTCATCTTCCTCGTCGCTATATTCTTCTTCGACACCTTCCTCGTCAAACTCATCTTCATCTTCATCCTCATCCTCATCTTCGCCCCCATCCTCCTCTGCGTCCCCTTCGGCATCGTCGACAACTTCAGCGGAGGCGTTGGCCCCTTCGCCAAACTCGGGCTCTTGAGCTACCGGATTGGGAGCTTCCTCGTAATCATCTCCTTCATCCTGATAATCAGTTCGAAAACCATTCACCGCGCCGAAGAGGATGCTCCCAGCTTCCAAAACATCACAAATCGAGGCATCCTCTATGATATCCATTAACCAATGGGTTAGGTGTCCCAGAGAATGAGCTGAAGATGGATGGTCCAAGGTGAGAGATACGACGGTCATGGGGAAGAGACTCTCACCGTTTCACCTTCGTATTCCTCATCGCTGTTTCTCGCTGCTCGTCAGCCCCTTCGATGTCTCCTCTGACCTATCTGTTTGCTGCTCCACGATTGCAGCCCATTTACTATGGGCACACACCCTTCCCTTGCCACCAGCCCCCTTCCACGCCGCTGCCCTGTGCACACAATCATGAGATGAGAATCACGTTGCTTCCTGTGACGATCTCTGCCCGAGCATCATCATCAAATCCCTACTGTATCATCATCACCTGGGATCCTTACCCTTGCCTCACCCCCCAAACAGTCTTCCAGAACGCACAACAAATTTCCATAAGTGCGCCCATACGTCCGGCTGACCAACGACATTGGTTGATGCAAGACTCACCGTCTTGTTCAGTAAGAGCCATTTTGATAGGTAAATATCTCCTCGAGTTCTCGTTGGATTGACGTGCTTGTTTCACACTTTCGGACACCTGATTCGATCCCCTGTCGAGGCAATCAGAGACAACCCCTGAGCGCGTTGTGTAGGGTGGATGAGAAGAGATGTTTGTATTCCGCTTCTTTATAGCCGAGGGTGAAGGTCGATTGGCGGGTGAAGAGGGGAGCGATGACGTCGTGTACGTTAACCGGGGGGAAAGTATAAAGTGACTGAGCAGAGTTGGCAGCGCCACATCTGTTCACTCGGAGCGTCTTCCGTGCGATGGGTCATGAGTGAGGAGGCCGTCGGTGAACGCGATTTGCATTCAGTCGTGGAGAATGAACAGCGTGTTCGAAAGATTTGACGTAAAGGAACAGTTAGGAGAAGGGGTCACGGGGGATTGACTACGAAACCAAATTAGATACTTCAAGAGTTCCCACAACAAGAGGTTTCGAAAGACCTGTGATTTCGTCGTTACCCATGCAGTCGGGTGCCAAAAGTCATAATGTTCTCGAGCCTCTCAGATAGGATTGTCAACATTCATAGTATCTCTCATATACTGAATGTGTATCCGCAACTCCATATTGTCAGCCTTGCTGACGAGCTTGTCAATGGTTCCCGCAACAGATCTCCTTCAGCCTAACAACCATGTCACACTCCAATCCTCTTTTTGACCAACCAGACATCAACCAACGTTCTTTCAAGGACTCCCCAAAGGTACCTGAATTGTATATCCCAAAGAAAGGGCATGAGATATGAACATTACACTCGGGTGCCTTCACGTGTCAAAAGGTTCTCTCCTCAGATAAGATTTGGCCCCTGACGATTATAGCCTCTCCCAATATCTATCCTGTTGGGACTGCATCACGTGCAATTTAGTCGCCATTATATAGCCAAGGAGGAGGCCAGCCGGGCACTGGGGTTGAAAGAGTTCCAGGCTACTCTCAAACTCTGGAGTCAAGTTTGGCAGGTCACCCCAGTATGCACTTGCCCGAGGGAGTACTGGCCAACTCACTAGTTTGGATAGGCTGATTGTTACATCAACCTTGGTCTTCAATGTGTTTTCATCTGTGACTGAGGCCTTCCTCCAATGAGAACTCATGTCAAAGAGTGCCTTTGATACACCTTCCATGGCTCCACTTACATTCATCAAGCTGTGTTGTAACGTTTGCAATTCTGTTATTACCTGAAGTTTGACAAAAGGGTCAATTTTGGGCACCATGGGATTGTGTAACGGTACTGGAAACACGATGACTAAGTCGCAGGTTGGATCGAAGTCGATGGAACTCTCGTGGAAATCTATGTATCTCTGGTGCTAATGGGTCGTGTCTCCTCTGCAATCGATGTAGCCAAAGAATGATATTGAAGAATCAGCAAAGGTGGTACTTTGCTGATTGTACTATATACTTGTCTACAGGTATTCGTGTCCTCTTCTCAGTCCTACTGCAAGCGTCTATGTACATACTCGGACAGGTGAAAAACCGCTTTTGAGCAAACCCAGTGGGGAAATCTCGAAAAGGGAAAACCCGTCCCTACCTACTGCAGCACTGCCTCCAACTCTCGCCGTTTTCCTTCCTAATCCGTCGAGTTCGATGGATGTCCCTCGAGTCGTGTTACTCCGTAACAAGTTTCCCCCCCTGTCTCAAGGATCCTCGCCGAGGATCCTGAATCCTGTAACCAGGTGATTCACATGGATTGCTCTGAGACACCTTTGATTGCGCCCTTACGTCACACCCACGCTAGCGTGACGGTTGCCATGAAACGCGTCACCCGCACGGACCTCCACTGTGATCGAGAAATTACTGACCAAGTTCTTTTCCCTCCTCTTTCTCTTCTTTCCTCCTCATTCCTTCTTTTCCTCTTGTTCGTCGCTCTTTTCACTTATCTATCAACATCCATCCATATCTTACTCATCTCTTAGAGAATCCATCAAATCTTTTCCTGTTTGTAAGCATGTTTAAGCGTACTGTAAGCAATTCTCTTCGAATTCGATGTATTTCCTCCTATCTCTCACTGGCTGACGAGATTAGTTGTCCCCTTCTACCTCTTCTCGCCGAACTCGGGCCTCTACTGTGGCCATTCTCCCCGACGTCGATCCCGAACTTCTCATGCGTCAAACGAAAAGGATGAGAATCACGTCTCAAGCTCCAGCCCATTCTCAACCTCCATTGGTTGATGCTTCTCGCAGGGCTCTGGACACCATTAAGGATCGATATCAATCCGGTCCTTCTCGCACTCAACAATCGTCTTCTCTCGATGACGCGATTATCGAGCAATTCCTCGACCTCGACGGTGGGGCAGGCCCATCTGCCACCGGTGAGAACCCATCTCCCGCCAAGTCCGTCGAATCCGAACACGGTACCATCGTCGAGAATCAAAATTCTCCTGGTAATAAGTCCCCTGTGCCACCCTCTGAACATTTAGACGGGCTTGACGATGTTCCCCCCGAACTCGAAATCATTTTTCGCGCTCCTCGCAAGGTTTCCGCTAATGACGAACTTGCCAAGGCTCTGGACGCTCGAAAAGACTCGGAAATTGGTGAGGTCTCTATCGAATTCTGTGCTTTTCTGACTCGTCAGCCACTCTCTGGGCCAAAATGTCCTTTTCCTCCGTTCGTATCGCTTTGAAGGACGAAGCCCTGGATCGTTTTCGCGAGACTGGCTCCCTCAATCTTACTGCGAAATGGTTTAGGAATGCTGTGAGCTTCTTCTTTTCCGAATTCTACCGATTTCTAACTGTTAGCTCGATCGTTTGGCCCAAGGTTGGCGACTCCGCAACAAGAATGGTGCTGTCGCCCGTCTCGAGGGTGAGCTCTGCTCCGATTGCCAGCGTCGTCTCGATGGTGGAGAAGATTTTCGTGTCGGTTGTATCGGCCCTCGTGAGTCTTCTATTGATTCCTGTTCGATATTGATGCCATTCAGTTGGTGGTGTTTGTGGAGAGTGCTCTGCCAAGGGAACTTCAAAGTGTTCGGTCAAAAACAACAATCCCGAGGCCAAATTTCGCGAGGTATCTATCTTCTTCCTTCAAACTTGATCGATGTTGATGTCAAGGGTGTCACCGTCGGAGCTCAGACTGTCACCTCCAAGGTTACTTTCGTCCTGGAGCACGAACTCTGTGCTGTCTCGGCCCGTTATCGATCCCTTTCCTCCCAGGATCAATCCTCTTCTCTCACCCAACTCTCCGCTTACATCCACCTCTTTTCCTCTCTCCTTCTTCCTCTTCCCCCAGTACATCTGGGCCTCTACAAATCTCTTCATCTCATTCCTTCCAACTACACCCCTCCCTCTCCTTCTGAAACCTTGGATCATCTCACCTCTGCTGCTGATCCAACCGGATTGACTTCTTCTCAACCAGTCGCCGGTCCCTCCTCTTCTCCCCATACTCCTCTCCCCCGCAATGTCATTCATATTCCCGCCTCGGTCCGTCGTCCCCGAGCCAATTCTACCACCTCCAACTTCTAGTGTATTTTATATCTCTCTATACGTAGCCATATTTCCTGTGTATGTATTTATTTCCCAATAAATTCCGTTGATTTTGATCGAATTCTCACTTTCTTCTGGGATCCTTTTTCCTCCTTTCCAGAAACTCACCAAAAACGGCCAACTCTTCTACATTTTCTCGCGGTTCCCAGTCATAGGCCGCATTTCCTGTGTACCCTAACCATTTTACCTTGAATTCTTCCTTTCCTCGTCGAATTCTGCTGTCCACAATTGCTTCCACATGGAATTCCTCCTGGCCGTTTATTACTACAGGTGGTGGGGGCTGTATCTGTCGACCTGGAATCATGTCTTTAGGATATGGTTCCAACAGCGTCACATTGAAGACATTGTGCACCTTCATTGATGGAGGTAGATCCAATTCGAAAGCATTTTTTCCGACCTTCCTTATGATTTTAAACGGGCCAATGTATTTTGCTTCTAATTTTCGACTGGGTCGTTCCGTCGTAAGATACTTTGTACTTAGTAGCACCTGTTCTCCCTCTCTGAATTCTTCTGGGATGCTTTTGTGCCTCCTGTTGTAGTATTCCCCACTAATCTCATTAGCCATTCTGACCTGTTCTTGAACAGCCGTATGCAATTCTCCCATATCTCTCCATTTCTTCTCTAACTTGTTTGACTTCGATCGAATATCGTGCGAATGGATGTCGTAATGTGGCACATAGCCATAACATGCTTCGAACGGACACAACCCATGACTGCTATGCGGAGAGCAGTTATAAGCAAATTCAGCAATTGGTAGAAGTTGATCCCAATTGTCCATGTTGTAGTTCACATACATTCCAAGTAGGATTTCCATCTGTTGGTTCACTCGTTCAGTCTGGCCGTCTGTTTGAGGATGATATGCAGTTGAATATAGGTTCTTTATTCCCAGGAATTGACATATTTCCTTCCAAACCTCTGCTGTAAACTGGGTTCCCCTGTCTGATACGATTGTTCGAGGTACCCCATGCTTTGAAAAGATCTCCTTGATGTATATGTCAGCCACCTTGTTTGCTGTTAGTCCGGTTGTGCATGGAATAAATCGAGCCATCTTGCTTAATCGATCTACTATTACTAGAATTGCGTCGAATTCTGTCGATTTCGGCAAAGGTCCTACCATGTCCATCGAGATATCTGTCCACGGAAGTGTGGGCACTGGCAATGAGACTAGATGTCCGTATGGTTGGTGTCGATGGGTCTTATGTCGGTTACAGATCTCACATCCCTTCACGTATTTTGCGATATAATCGTCCAAATGGGGCCAATAATAGTCCTCTTTGATCATAGTGATGGTTTTGTCTCTTCCTGGGTGTCCTACTAATATTGAATCGTGTCTTGCTCTCATTACTTCTAACCTTGCTTGTCCCTCTGGTATGACTACTCTATTCTTGTACAAGAGCAATCCGCTTTGAGTCCATGATACCACCGGTGTCTCGTTGCTATGATCATAGTAGAGTGTCTTCTATGTAGGGGATGGTCCCAATCCACTACACCTTAGGGTGTGTGCTGACAATCAGCTTCCAGCAGGAATGAATTTCTCATGTGATATGGTGCCAAAAAACCTCATTGATTGGTGGCGAGAACATGAACACATATGTCATTTCACAAGTGGCGCTTCCCAGTATGTCACTCCTGATTAGGACTTCTTCTCACGTGCCCGTGCTTCAACGGTGTTGGCGACTCATCATAATTGATGATGTCTCTCGTTTTTGTCACCGTCTGTCCTTGTGTCTACGTGATTTGAATCTCTGCGTCCTTTGGAATCAACCCTACCTGAAACTTGAGACCAGGCCACAAAGTGTCATTCGCCCCGCCATCATATTGTTCTATTGACATCTGATACAGCGCAAGACACAACTGGCTGTAGGCACTGGTTACGTTTTGTCCGGTTCACGGATACCTTGATGCAGGTGTCTAGTAGTTGTGATAGTTTTCCTGTCCCGTCTACGTGTCTCATTACCCCAAAACGGGTCCACTCCGTACTCAAATTACGCCTACTCCCTGTTGTTTGACACTGGTACTCTGTTTTACATCTCCACCTTGATCACAATTATCTCCTTGCCTTTGCTATTCTACGGAGTCTCTACTTGGGACTGTGAAATTCCACGTCAGACTGGTAGATTACATTCCGTCACTCCCTATACCTCTAGCCATCTCTCCTGGTTGCTCTTTATCGCTTTTATCATAGCTAAGAGTAACCAGATTTATGCGCACAGCTATCTAGCGATCATCCTTGACAGGGACCACATATGCTCAACCTTGGTATTGTCCCGCACTCTTTTTTGTATATAGACATGGTCTTTTCTCAACAATGTCTTGTTGAATGTATTCTGTGTTCTCTTGGTTATGTCATTTGACATACATCACTTCAATCTCCACAGCTCTCTTTGATACATTGCGCCACTAGGTTTGCTCCCTACAAGGCATCATTGCCAAAGCTCATCAACGCAGACTATTCGACGTCTGGTCCTGACAAGTTTCTCCCCCGGGCGGCTGTTGGATTGAGATTTGTCCAATCTGCCCATATGTTTCTCTGAGTACAGGGGAACAGAGAGGGTGCAAGGGTATATCAGTAGGAAGAGGGTTGTCTCCCCAAATATTCATACCGGCACCTAAGAAGGAAACTGTAAGGGCTCTTAACACATGGAAGAGGGATGCTTTCCCACATCGGCTGTTAGAGTGGACGTTGTCTGCCTGCTAGTATTCTTGCTGTGCTTGTCCGGATTTACGTACCAAAGCTATACAAAGAGCATTCATAGACTGACCACAGCTTTCAGAGTTGTTATCAAGTGGCAATGTTAGGGACACAGCCGGAGACATGCACCTCCGGAGCTGCACGGACCTGATCGTTCCCGGCCAGAGATGTACCACTCCGGAGCGGAACACTCCCTTTAGCCATTCCCATTCAGAGAAACATCAATAACAGATCCTCCACGCCATACAAGACAGTGTTGGTAGCTCCAAAGGGCAGATGCTCTATTAAGACAAGTCTAAGAGGTAACCACTACAGTGCTGTTCAACATCACATGCTGTATTTGGCAAGAAGGTCAGCCAATATCTTGAACCAGGGGGGATTCCAATGGTGATGTATCATAGGTAATTGTTGCAGTGTTTGTAGATTTCAAGTTGTGGGGCCAGACCACCATGACTTCAAGAGTCCAGGAGATGGTACCACAGGATATCTGTACTGTGATTCATGTATGTGGAGAGCTTGGGGATGAGAAGAGCGAAAATGCTCTGGCCGTGTCTGGACCCCTCTGGAGCTGCATGGTTCTCTGGCCAGGTCCAAGAGGGGGGTTTTGAACCATGCAGCTCCGGAGGTGCACGTCTCCGGCCGTGTCCTCAACAGCAATACTATCCCAGGGAGTAGTTTATCATGAGAGCTAGATCCTATAAGGTGACAAATGGACAAACAGGAACATTTTTTTCACAATCACAATGCATTACCACAATTAACTCTAAGCATGGTCATATTGGTCATACATGTATGTACTCTTTTCTCAAAACTGGTACTCCGAGTCCTTATCTGATAGAGGATGGCTCAAATGGACAATACACAACGTGAAGGGAGCGGAGAGGGGTGTGGTGGACTAACTCGGCGAGTTGGTTAATCATTTGTGCAGTCACATTGAGGTCTCAGGTCTGATGGCAGCAGCGAGTCTATGTGGTCATAGAGTCACTTTCAAGACCATTTTCGTCCTGTACCGTTTCATCTTCACCACCTTCTCCGTTCACTCGGTGAAGAGCGCGGGCCTCGATCTCGTTTATTCTTCTGTTCAACTCTGCCAGAGTCATTTCATCCCATGGCTTGTACAGGTTCCATTGAACATGTACGAATCTCAATTCGTCGGAATCCAGGGTCTCCCAATCAATATCTTGGAGGTTCTTGGGGGTGTACCGTCGCCCATCAAGAAACTCCTTTATTGTTGATGTTGGTATGATGGGGGAAGAGCAGGCTAAGTAAGCCTCTCTGAGTTTAGTCATTCTTTCTGCTATTGCAGTCATTTCATATTCCAAAGTCTTCAATTGCCCTGCAAGATGTTTATTTAGTATCAGCTTTCCAAATTTCAGGACAGACAGTTTTGCTTCTGATGACTGTGGGGAGTACATTCCTCGTCTATACCCATCAGAAGGGAACTTGACGGGTGGAAGCCAATTTAGCTCATGTGACCAGTCAAACACTCCTTCATGGAGCTGTGAGGGTATGTTCCTGATCCTGCTTGACATGGAATATGTATAATGTCCAATAGCTCTGGCAAGAATTTGATTTGTTCTGCTCATGTCTTCAGTTAGGAAATGTTCCATCAGGGTCTCAAGTACCGCAAGTTCATTCATTGAAGCTTTTAAAACCGGTTCCAGTGGCTTCGGAGTGCTATATGTGGCCGAGTTACTGATTTGATCCGTGTAACGCTTCATTGCCGTTTCTTGATCAAGAGAAGGATCTGAAAGTTCAGGTAGAGCTTGGAAAGGTTGAGTGCGATCTTTCAGAGCAGTAGCAAAAGATGCATTTGAGGGGATCATAGAGCATAGAACTCTTTGACCATTAGTTTTGAAGACATGTTCATCACCTGCAGAAAGTTGTACGGTAAGATTGACAGGAATCGGTTCAATTCCCAAGTGCTCAATCCAGAGGCAGAGCCTTACTTCTCATAAATCATCGCTCTGTGTCTGTTGTGGTGCTGATAAAGAAGGAGGAATGGAAGTGTTGGTGGACATTTGCTGATCTTGGAAGGTTGAGTTTCACGAAGAATGACTATTGAGTGGGACAGGTGAAGAGATGTGTATGGATGATGAGGGTATATTTAAGACAGGATGGATATGAGAATTCACAGTAGAAAGATACGGTTGAAAGGAAAGGTGAGAAGGTGAAAAAATCTTTCCTTTGTACGGTTTATGAGGCTATGATAGAGGTCGACGCGTCTTCCCCCACCCCGTCCGGATCATGTTCAACTCCTCGGATCATGGTAGATCGTTCCGAATGGTCGATCAATCAATGTTGAAAAACGATATCTTGGCCGCGTGATTGATATCATGATAGGAACTGTGGATGATTCCAATATGCGAAAGAGGTACTATAACTACTCCGTTGAGGGTATCCACCCCCCTCCCACCACAATCTCCTGTTCGATTCGTCTAGTCCCTTTACCTCCTTATTATGTCATGTTAGTCAACTCATCCACTTCATTGCCATCACTTGCCAGTATCCCTATTCCCTATAAGTAATTGCTGGGAAAACATGAGTACAAGTGGTCGACAATAGTACCAATACCTTCCTCTGTGTTCTGTTTTGTTGCGGGCGTCAGCTCGCAAAGTATAGGGGGTCAAATTCTACGTAAGTGCCTGGCAGAAACGGGGACTTTACGTAAGAGCCAGAGAACACAGAGCTTAGATGCAGAGCTCCCATCGCATGCATATCAAGGCAGTCCGATATTCCTCGTACCAGGTCCCATGGAAATTGATACGTGTTGCTACTACTACACACTAGACTGGTCTAGGGTTACAATGATGGGAATCAGATGATTGGATATCATTCTAGTACTCTACTATAGTCCGCCATTTGTCTTGTACCTTCTAAAGTCCATAGAGAGTGCTTGTGACATACTGTATGTATTGTCACACGCTGATACGTGCGCGTGGCAATGAACGGTGTGGTCAGGGAGAAGGGAGAAAAGTGCCACATTCCCAGCTTCTGCCACAACTGCCACATTGCGACCTGCCGAAAGTCTACGTCTACGTCTTCCTCCTCCCCACCCGATATACATACGTCTCTCCTATACATCACCTATGACAATGTCCATATCTGGTCCATCCAACTTAACAATGTCACATAAGATCATCAGGCCTCTCACCATACATCACACTCTCCCACGGAGGACGGCCCGGATATCACACGTAACGACCCTTCCCTCTCCACATAATTCTCGGTCGACTCGGATTCCCTCTTCATCTCCAGTCTTCCTATGCCAAAGACCTTCCGGCCACCTCACTCCTATTCATCTTCCATCTCTCTCGCTCAATCCAATACCTTCCACAACGGTGGTTCAATCCGTTGAGCCGCATACTTCAGGTGGGTCAGTCACATTCGGACGAGGAGAAAGAATGGGTCGTATGGGATGGTCGGTTTTACCGTCATACCAAAGACAGACAACCCCCAACGTGAAGAGCTCGCTTCGCTTGGAAACTCGAGAAAGGTCATTTCTATCATCATTAAGACGTAAAATGGGAGCAACGAAGGAAATCAAATCAACTCGACTTATCCGACATTTCCACTCATCACCCTTTATGCAACATGACCATCTCACAAGACCCGTTCCTGGTACAGGTATAAAATTGACTTTTCTCGATAGTGAAGGGGAGGAAATTAAAACTGTCGAAGCTAATGAAGGTGATGATGTTTTGAGTCTAGCACATGAACATGATGTTGATTTAGAAGGTGAGTCTTGACATCTGCTGTCTTTCTGTACTTCTTCACCTACACTCTGTCTTCATTCGGATCCATCTACGAGTGTTTTGATCAACAAATTTTTGTTTTCCTTTCTAACTCTCCTTTTCCTTATCCTCCGAATAATATCTTCCTTCATTTCAAACCTACGACCGTAAACCAATAACTCATTTTCTCAAACAATAACTCATTTTCCTAAAACAGGTCTTGAAATTCATTTGGAAGGAAGAGGAAAACAATATTCTCCATAAACGAGAGTTGAGAGATGACAATTTGAATCATTCTCTGACCCCACAGGAGCATGCGAACGTTCTTTAGCATGTTCGACATGTCACGTTATAGTCTCTCCTGAACATTATGATCTTTTACCCGAACCGGAAGATGAAGAGAATGACATGTTGGATTTAGCTTTCGGTTTACAGGATACGAGTAGGTGAGTTAATATTGTTTATCATTTCATATCAACCATCAGATCTATGATATATCAGACTAAAAGCTGTCAAACAACTCGTTCCATTTGAAGTGTCAATCTCTCTCCCTCCCCCTTGAAATGATAATTCTTTGATTCAATCTATCATTCCACACCAGTCTTCTTATCTTTCGATCAAAGCTATCAATTTCTCATCCCAATCGAATTCTCAGATCATAGGTTGGATTCATTCCACTCGAATTATCAGATCACAGGTTGGATGAAAGTTGATAAAAACAGATTAGGATGTCAAATCATTATGAAACCTGAATTGAACGGAATGAAAGTTAAACTACCCGCCGCTACGAGGAACATGTATGTTGATGGTGAGTAAAACTCAACTCTTCTTTTCTCTCATTCCCTTCCATCATCTCTCTTTGAAATCATTTATTTCTCATGATAGTTCTTCAATACATCTATCTATGAACTTTTGATTTCCTCTTTGTCAGTCTTCCGCTCTTTGCTATATGGATATTGAATGGAATCGCTCCTCATCACCTTGATACCTTTTGAATGATTGTTACGTGGGTATTGCCCCTTTTTAATGATCGTCACGTTGGATTGCACTTTCTAAATTGTGGTTACCTTGGATCGCACTTGTGAAATGATTGTCACTTTGGATCGCACTTGTTCAAGGTGATGATTACCTTGCATCGTACTTTTCAAATCGTTGGGTAGTTACTCTGGAAACACACTTGTCAAACGATGATTCCTTCGGATTGGGCGGTTGATGATGATGACTCTGGATCGGGTCGGATTTCCTTATCGACAAATTATGTTTCGGTGCAATACTGATATCAGGTGCAAAAGCTCGTACGCATTGATATCTCATGTATCTTATCTTATTTCTTCATAAATCACCAAACTTTCGAATTCTCACATCATACTTTCTCTCTTGAGCCACACGGATCATCTTATTATCGTTCCGAAGTGAAGAGTACGAGTATTGGATACATGACACGTAGTTTAGTTCAAAAAAGAAAGAGAACGAGAGAACGAGAACGAGAGAACGTAGTTTTGTTTAAAAGAGATTGAGAACGAGAGAACGTAGTTCTGTTCAAAAGATAAGGAAAGAATGACGCGAAGAAAACAATGCATCTTCCATGAACTTCTCATACATCTCACATCTCACATCTCACATATAAAATGTCAAATGTCACATCTCACATCTCAAATGTCAAATGTTTCATGTTTAATGTCGAATGTCGAATGTCGAATGTTAATCGTGTTTTATCCCTTTTCCTCTTCCCTTGGTCAAGTACACCAATATTCCTCATCGTGACATATACCAATGAAATCTAACCCTTCTACTCACATCATTCTCACTCATTCGAATGATGAGAATTCAAGAGACGACCTTACATCCACCACTACCCTCTCACCCCTACACCTCTTCCCAAACCTTCATCCTCTTCCTCTTCATCATCATCATCATCAACTTCTTCATCATCATCGAATAATCTACCTTTACCAACATTCTCATCCAACTCTTTTATCCCCATTCCCATTCCCATCCCCATATCCAAATCTTGACCTTGACTCACATTCGTACCTTTCCAACGACCTTTCCAATCAACTTTATCTAAATCTAAATATCTCTCTGGTCTTTCTCTCAACCATTTCATCCTAGGACCACTTTGAGCTCTTTCAGAAACGTTGAAACCGTATATCTTCGCTTGATACTTTTTCCCTAAAGCTGGTTTTTGACCTCCATAAGGATCAGGGTTTATATATGTTTCACCACCGGTCGGTGAGATTAAATCGTTCATACGTCCTGCTCTCGGTGGAGAAGGTAATAATATATCATCACGTAGTGGGATGGTTCGATCGGGGGTTGGACGAATTGATTTTGATGATGAAGGTGCTGATGGGGATGGGGAAGGGGAAGTTAAAGAACTGGTGTTGGGAAGATATGATGAGGCCGTGGTGGGAGGTTGTGGTGGGACACAAAATGGTGCAGATAGGAATTCAGGGTATGTTTGAAAGAAAAGGGCTGCGAAGGAAGTACCGAAGAAAGCACCTGGAAGTTAGTTAGGTATATATGATGGCTGGGGAATGTGTTTTGAGATAGTAGTGTTCGATAGTTCATTCGAGGCGATTGGCATGAGTGCGATATATTTCAGATCAGAGACAGAGTCAAACTGCAAAGGATACATTCAGTTGATGGAGGTGGGAGAGGGGGGGGGGGGGGGGAGTAAACAAATTTGTACTCCAAAAAAGAGCAGTAAAAACGGAAGGGTGAAGAGAAGCCAGATGAAGATATTTGGGAGGGGAGCAAAAAACGGAAAAATTTTAGAGGGTGACTACCCGAAAGAAAGAGGAAGATCAACGACGAGGACAGTCAGCCGAGTGAAAGAAAACCCACCATCAACACCGGCATACTTGCTACTAGGAGGTGTATATATATCCCCACAATTCGGACAAAACAATTTAACAGTATCCACCCCAGGCATATCACTTCTACCACAAGGAAGTACATGTGTGGCCATACAGAATACTCTTGGACATGCTCCGAAATGACCTTGTTCGTATTTATCCGCCTGGAGTAAGTATCGTGTCTTTGAGATTGGTCTGACAGGATGGGAGCAGTTTTCTTCCATAACAGGTTTCTCCGAGACACGTTTATCAGACCAAGTTGAATGTTTTCCTTCGGAACAGGTCGAACGTATCGCTGCGGAATAAATTCATATAGAGATGTGGGGAATCGAGGTGATAGTTGTGAATCCGATTTCACGTCACGTTGTTTGTTCCGAAGAGGGAGGGAAAGCATAAGGAACTCACCATAGCCGCCAATCCAGCTTTGGTACAAATAAATCGTTGATGTACCAAACCATACAACAATTCCGCACTAGATTCGACGATTGATACATCTGGTATTTTTGAAGAATCTTCTTCTATTTCCGCCCGTCAGTAAAAGTATCAAGATGAAAAAAGAACACAGGGGGACAAACCAGGTTCGATATCAATAACCATTTCTAAAGCTTCTTTCCAAAATGGGACCATGGATTGTAGACCTGGAAATGAGCTTTGATACAACACACACTCGCGTCCAGGTTGAAGGTTTGTAAAAGGGTATCCAATACAGATCAGTAGGGGACTTATTCGAATAGTCCATATGGGTTAGAAAGATCCGTGTCATTTGATTCACGATATTGGCGAAAAGACGTATTGGAATATACGTGCAAATTGCGGACAGAGTTATGATAGCAGTGGGGCCAGAAAGAAAGAGAAGAAAAGAGGGGAAAGAAGACCGACTAACCAGTCAGATTGAAATCATCTTCTATGAACTCTTCGTGTACCTCACAAAAGTATTCATGACCAGGATAAGAAGTGAACCAATTCTGACGTGAGTATTATTGTCTGCCACTTCTTTCTCATGATCTGATCCCATATGAATCCAGCGGGAGGGGAAGCAGGGGGCGAGTGAGAGGGTAAGGAAAAGGAGTGACTCACTATCCAAGTGATTGTAGATGTTTGAGTTGATGAACCTTGAGAAGAAGAATCTATCATCAGTTCTATGACTTGTGTTCAAGTACCTGTTGGGACCTGACAGCTCGGTAGTGACGAGAGAAAGTCGGGTTTGGCAGATGATTTAGGGTGATAGAATATTCAAAGATACAGAGGATAGGATATGTTCAAGTAAAGAGGGATATCTCACCGAACATGTCTTCTTCATGAGCCAACACATCAGGATCTATATCCCTCTCATCTAAATTTTGATACCTCTGATTGAGATCCATCTTGCTTGACCGGATCCACTCTTAGTATTATTATAGTTGCGTAGGTATCTCCAAGATCGATGAGGTGGTATTGCTCAGTACGGGCGGGATATGGTATGAGTGAAGATGTTGTATGATGTGTCCCCATGGCAGGTGAGGTGAGAGGAAGAAGGGCAGAAGGGGGTGAAGGGAATCTGCCACATCTCAAGTATACATCGGTGTTTCGGCGTTATACCCAACTCTAGCAGCCCCATGCGTCATCGATCCCCCTCCCCTCTCTTCTCTTCTCTATACTGTACTTGACTACCTAACCTTACTCTCTACACTTGACTACTCTACCATTCTTCTATCTAATCCACTCACAATCAAATCAGACACAGCAGGATGGATGAAGAGTACGATGTGAGTATCTCTCCTACAATGCCCAACTCACCCCTCCCTTAGCACCCTCATATCTTGGGGGTCGAGGAGCTCATTCTTCACCTTCACAACCACGTGCATAGCTGACAACACAGGTCATTGTCCTTGTAAGTCTCTCTCATCGATCAATCCTGAAAGCGGTTGCTGCAAGTGGAGGAAAGAAAAGGGCAAGTCAAAAGTACGCTCAAGACTGACTCTAAAGGGCACGGGCTTGACAGAATGTATCCTATCTGGATTATTATCTGTAGATGGACAAAAAGTACTTCATATGGATCGTAACGATTACTACGGAGGTGATTCAGCTTCTTTGAATCTTACTCAGGTAAGTCACCCCCTTCTCTCTCATTTGTAACGCATTTTCCCTATAATTGGCCCTCGTGGCTTTGTCCCACCCAGTCATCTATGATGCTATCAGTCACAAGTACGCAAGTTGACCATTTTCAGCTCTATCAGAAATTCCGTTCCACACCACCTCCCGAAAATCTCAACTTAGGTCGTGATCGCGATTACGCAGTTGATCTCATTCCTAAATTCATCCTATCATCCGGCGAGCTCACCAGGATGTTGGTACATACAGACGTTACGAGGTATCTTGAATTCAAAGTCATCGCTGGGTCATATGTATATCGTGATGGACGTATTTCAAAAGTACCAAGTACGGAAATGGAAGCTGTCAAAAGTTCTTTGATGGGGTTGTTCGAAAAGAGAAGAGCGAGGAATTTCTTTTCGTATTTGCAGAGTTGGAAAGAGGAAGATCCTGCGACCCATCAGGGTGAGTGGGGTGTCAAATCTTTATTCCTTTTAATCTACTTTCATCCTTTTCCCTATGTTTGATCTTGTCGGGGCGTTGTTTGGTCGTGCGTGTCGGGTGGTAGATTATCTTGACTGAGATCGAGCCATTGGAATTCGGCAGAATGGAAGATAAGTGTTGAGACAAATCAGCTGATGTTCAGGCCTCGACGTTAATAAATGTTCCATGAAAGAGGTTTATACAAAGTTTGGATTAGAACCTGGTACACAAGATTTCATAGGCCACGCCATGGCTTTGTACCTCGATGATGAGTGAGTTGACCTTTTCTTTCATCTGCGTGGTAGATACAATGAACGCAGTGAGAATTTTCATGTTCGGTCATACCTCATGACGTGTCAGCTGACTCGCAGTTACATCAACAAACCCGCCCGTCCCACCATTGACCGTATCATCCTCTACACCCGTTCGATGGCACGTTATGGCAAATCACCTTACATTTACCCTCTCTACGGTCTGGGCGAGTTACCCCAAGCATTCGCCCGTTTGTCTGCCATTTACGGTGGTACGTACATGCTGGATAAAACCATCGAAAGTATCAACGTTGATGAGAACGGAGTGTTCACCGGTGTGACCAGTGGCGGTGAAACTGTGAGAGCGAAGAAAGTCATTGGTGATCCCAGTTACTTTGGTGCTGGAAAAGATATGGCGGAAGGGGGTAAAGTGAGGGTGGTGGAGACTGGCAAAGTCATTCGAGCGATTTGTATTTTGAAACATCCCATTCCAGGTACGGACGATGCGGATTCCGTTCAGATCATATTACCTCAGGGGCAACTGGGACGAAGGAATGGTGAGTGAAGTCTCATGACATTTGATCCTTTGTGATGCAAGTGAGATACGATGGGTTTAGCTAACACCCAGATATTTACATCGCAGCAGTGTCTTCAGCACATAATGTTGCCGCTCCAAACGTTTGGATAGCTATAGTATCGACAATTGTCGAAACTTCAGTCCCTGAAAGAGAAATCCTTCCAGCCATTCAACTGTTAGGTACGGTGGTTGACAAGTTTGTCTCGGTCACACCACTTTACGCACCCACTTCTCCAGGGACGGAAGATGATGTTTATATCACGAAGAGTTATGACGCCACGAGTCATTTTGAAACTGTTGTGGATGATGTGAGTGATGTTTGGAGGAGGGTCAAAGGTGAAGAGTTGGTTTTGAAAAAGAGGGATGTGGAATTGGCTGCGTGAGGTTTAGGGGAGGTGGGACAAGTTTTGTTAATGTTTATTTATGCATGTTTGTGATGTAGTCTTTGTCGTGATTCTCTTCATGTCACCTGTGCTATTCAAAGTTTTGGTCAAGTCATACTCTTGACCGTTGTCGCCATCGTAGTTAATGTCCCCCGTGTTACAATATTCTGCAGTAGAGTGCGTCATGTCACGTGACAAAGTTCCGTCGGAAAGTATCCTCGTTGACCTGTCCCTCCCTCTTTCTCTTCCTCTCTGTCTCTCTTTCTCTCTTTCTCTCTCTTTCTCTATCTCTCTATCTTTATCTCTATCTCTCAAGATAAATATTCACATTAACAAACAATGAATCAAGAAGATTTCGAACTTTCACAATTACCTACAGACCCATTACTCCCATCATATTCTTCCCATCTCCCTCACTCCAATTCTAACTCTGGTTCTTTCAAACCAACATTATCCCGAACAAGATCCACCTCTTCTTCCTCTTCCTTCTCTTCCTCTCCTATTTCTAAGCTTAGGGAGAAAAGTGGGAAAAGGAATAAATCGAAATTCAGAAAAACATTATGTTGTTTATTCATCTCTTTATTAATAATAGTGCCTACTGCCGGGTTGGTACTCTGTTCTCTGCGAGGTGAGGGAGGTGATGGGGAAGGTAAGGGTTGGAATTGGGGTGGTTTGGGTGATTTGGGGGATTGGGAAGGTTGGAATGGTTGGAATAGTTGGACAGGATGGAAAGGGGTGGGTCAAGGGGATTTCCCGACAGAGTGAGTTTGGACATTTTTTATTCATTTCATTTTCTTGCAGAACTGTCCTGTGGATTGATTTTTTTTTTGGTTGGAGATCTTATACTTGATTGAAGATCAGAATGGCGGAATGGCAGAAAAGGTTGTATCATTATTGCCCATGGAGAGTGGAGAGTTGAGGAATGAGGAATGAGGATTGAGATTCGTTTGGGGGAGTCCTGTGTAGGAGATGAATATTGACATTGGTTTGAAGGATTAGGATTGGGAGCTGATGATTAGTATAGGTTATGCTGGTCCTACACCCACAGGAGTCGAGTGAGTCTTTTCTTTTTCTTCTTTACTCTTTTCTCTATGTGCCCCCCCCCCCCCCCCTCCCCCTTCCTTCCTTCTCTATCTCGTCAAGCTTCATACCTCCATTCGACGCCATCCCAACCATTTCACCCTGGACTACTTTTCTCCCCTTAACCCATCGAATACCCCTACACACACTCAATAAATGCACAAAAACAAACTCACAACTAACCCACACAGAGCAGCTCTCCTAGTCACAGCTCCAGCACCACCAATGATGACTGCCATAGTACCTCTGGTACCTCCTCAAACTCACACAACATCAAGTTTCAGTATAATGCAACATTGGGGACATCTTTCTCCATATTATTCAGTCTCTTCTCATGGTTTACCAGAAACCAACAGTCTTATTCCTGAACAGTGTCAATTGAAATCATTACATTGGTTACAAAGACACGGCGCGAGATATCCTACTTCGGATCCTTATGGTGCTGCGGCTTTTGGGAAAAGGTTGATGATGGCTAAAGAATCTAAATATTTTAGAGGGAATGGTGAATTGAGATTCTTGAATCAATGGGAATATAAATTAGGTGCGGAGTTGTTGACTCCTTTTGGGAGAAGTCAATTGTGTGAGTGTAACCTCTTTTTTTTTTATCTTATCACTCTCTCTTTTAATCTCACGTTTACCTCAACGCTATTCATTCATATACAACATATTCAGATGATCAAACCTCACCAATTCCAACTTGATCTGGTAAGATGCTCTTGAATCGTTGTCTTCTCGAATTAGCCTTGTCCTTCTGATCATTTTCCTTACCCGGAGTTTGACTTCATGTCATTTTCAATCAGATACATTCTCACTGAATTGAAAAGTACAGTCAATTAGCCTTTCTTGACATTGTTTCTGGCCCTTGACTCGTCAACTTTGACTGGCAAATTGTCTACTGTCTCAATTTGGCGTTCGTTCGATATAAAAGAGGATTCTAGGGGCTTGACGCTGATGATAGATAATCTAGGAGTAGCAGCCAGATTAAAATACGGTTTCTTACTTGATAGAATGGACGGTAGATTACCCGTTTTCAGAACAGAATCACAAGAGTGAGTCAATACTTTCTCACTCGCTCGTCACTCGGCGAATCAAAGATTCAGCTCTCATAATCTGACCAAATGAAAGCTGATAGATAGTCGGATGCTTCGGTCGGCTCAAAATTTTGCAGCTGGTGAATACATCTCTTCCTTTTCTCCTCTTCGACCCTCCCAGCATTGTCTCTCTCTCTTCGATCATTCGGAATATCGGTGTTTTTACTATCGGTGTTTTTTGGGTCTTGATCCATGATCGCTTTCACGTCCAGTTCAGCTTTGGTCTCCATCCGATTTGTGATTCACGTCAACTGGCTGGTTAAGAGATCGTTAGACCGCTGATTACACACGGATAACCCTTCTTTCCCACAGTATCCTCACGAGTCATCATGATACCTTGGACATCTTTGAGGCTTTCTTTTTCGCACTTCCTGTTCCAATCTCAATCCACGCTACCTACTCTTTCATCCGGTCCATCTGGCGGCCATACTCATTATATCACAAGTGGTGTTGGAAAGAGAATTTGTCAAGATTTCATAAATCATATCATCGACCTCTTCTCATTCCTGGTCCGGATCATTGGGTCATGATCGGAATAGATCTTGCATATGAATCGATTACCTTCATTCGGTCAATATGAGGGAGATTCTGAAACTGATGATTAGGTTTCTTTGGGATTCCCGCAGAGGAACATTACCATTTGGAAGTTATGATTGAATCTCCTGGTTTTAATGGTACTCTATCGCCTTGGCATGCTGTGAGTCATACTTCTTCGATTTCTCACTTCATTCTTGCCATTTTGTCCCCCCCCCCTCCCCCCAAACCCACACACCCACACACCCACACACATCCTGATCAACGAGTGCTCAATGAGGCTGTGTGGTACCTCTCACCATCCCTCTTTCTCATATCTGTGCCAACCCTCATAGAGAGGGACGCTACTCTTGTGTTCGATCGTCATGCGTACTGGCTTCAGACGGGTCAGCACCACCCATCGACATCGTTCATCACTGGTAGACTGGCCACCCGGACGAGGTGGAACCGGGCCCTGTATCCAGATCCAGGATATTGCACGAAACTTATAACAGTGCAAAGCGGAAAATCATTCCATCAACGTCGACCTTCCTGCTAAACTTGCCCAATGGGATGCTGTCTTCCTTTCAGATGCTCAGACGAGACTTTCAGCGCAGTTAAGTGGATACGACTTGACTTTGGCCGATACGGCGGCTATGGTGAGCTATCGGTCCATTTGGTGATTGTTGGTTAACGTGTCAGATGGAGATGTGTGCGTATGAGGTTAGTTGATGATTCTCCCACATCGGCAACCGTTGTTTCCTTCTCCTTCAACCTACATTCTACCTGTTTTGTCACTTCACCATTCAATTCAACCAGCTCTGTCTGTCGCCCCGCCCTGGTAATCCTTTACAAATATACTCTGTCCAACCTCTCTCCCTTTTCACGCTTGCTCCCCCCCCCCCCCCCCTAGGCCTTGTTCTCTTTCTCGTCATATATCTTCTCCACCCCTGCTCAACTATTCATTCTCTCTGTAAATCATGTGCCGTGTCCATCTTCACATAAGACGCCTAGCAATGTGACCTGACAATCACCGCTAATCGCCAGACCGTAGCATTAGGTTTCTCCGCATTCTGTGACCTCTTCACTCAAACCGAATGGAAAGGTTACGAATACCGAATGGACATTTTCTGGTGGTATTACGGCAGTTTTGGGTTCCCACTTTCAAAAGCACAAGGTGTAGGATGGGTTCAAGAACTTGTTTCCCGTTTAACTCATAGTGAGTCGAGTGATATGATGTCGGTAGTGAGTCAGCTGATGGGTTTAGCGAGATTAACAGAATTCAATTCTACTACGAATTCAACTTTACATAATGATGTTTATTTCCCTTTGGATGATCCTATGTGAGTGAAATTGTCTTCTTCTCCCTTCCCCCCTCCCTCTTTCGCGCTTGGCGACCCAGTTTCGTCCTCGATGTGGGTACTGTGTTGGCGTCTTTCGTCTAGCCCTTTTCCAGATTTCCCTCTATTTCTTGTATTTCGGTGTTACTCCATATACTAGTCTTCACCTTCTCTGACTTCTGTTATCTTTTGTTCGTCAAGTCACAGCTGTCGTTTGTTTCTTCATTTGTCGACGAAGCTTTCGCTGCCTATTGTGTAACTCGTCCAGGAGGTGGCTGAGAGGAGCGCTGATCATCACAGCAATATAGACTTTACTCACGATACCGTCTTCGCTATGTGTGAGTTTGACACTTCATTCTATCCACCACCTAACCTTGCCCCTCGTCAGACGCCACCCTCCACTCTACTCCCTGACCAATTAACCCCCCAAGAGATCTCTCGACCAAGTCTTTGACACTCGCTGAAATCCAGTACTTCCCACTCTCAACCTCACCACCTTCGCTCAATCCGGTCCTCCCTCACTTGACCAAATGCCCAAACATCGTTCTTTCATAGCATCCAAAATTATACCCTTCGCCACCAACCTTCAGATCCAAGTACTTTCCTGTACCGACACGAAAGACTCCGAACAAGTGAGGTTGATATTGAACGATGGGGTGGTGCCTCTCACCGGACTGACAGGGTGTGATGATGATGTCGAGGGTAGATGTTCGTTGGAAGGGTTCGTTTCGAGTTTGAAGACTTTGATAGGGGAAGTGGATTTTGCTAAGGAGTGCGGAGCTAGGGATAATTGAAATTGTCAGTTGTTTTAGTCCTACATCGAGACATTTTCTACGATGTCCGTTCCTACTGGACTCTTTGATAGTCACATGACGTACGATTGTCTACCTGAATCAGGATCTGAGACATCTAGTTGCGGTATACAAAGGGTGGTATGATTTGATGTTGACATATAGTACATTTTTGTAAATGATGCATGATATTTATTAACATTACACCATTGTCTATGGAAGGAAGGGATGTGAGTTATATATACTAATCTCCTCTGACCGCTTCAAGATCCTCGGTATCAGCTAATAAAAACGAGCAGTTATGATGACTGACTAATGACCGGAACGAACAATGGGGAAGCTCAACTTTTCTTAGGTGATCAAAAGGTCTGTTTGGTTGTTAGGAAACGAACGAGTGGATGATCTCGCCAAGTATGACGGTCTTGAGCTTATTTTTGGAAAGAAAGAAGAGGGGACAGATGTTGGATTGTATAAAGCTCAATTGACGTCATTGTTTATGAACATTTAATCACATTGGTGGTACAAATGTGTACACAAAGTCCTTAGGATAATAACCGGTTACACATACTTCTTCTGATGGATTTATAGACTCGTATGTATCTCGCTTCCTGCCTCTCACCTCTCACCTCTTGCTTACCACTTGTCACTTGTCACTTGTCACTTCCTCCATAACACACCTCCCATTCACGTGTCACATTCATATCCCAGATCATAGCGACATTGGATAAAGTACGTTCATCTTGATCTTGAATCAATCGTCAATCGACGACAATGGTTCAGGTGGGGATCCATTGAAGAATTTATCAATGACACCACGCACACCGTTCGGCCCTTTTTGCCTCACCTTCCATACATCACGACCTTGTCCGGTAACATCGGAATCCTCTTGATGTTTGTGTCCCCCGAAGGCAGAACGGAATCTGGACAAGAACCCGTGCTGTTTTGGGTGATCATCATTCCATCCAATGTTCTCAGGATCAATGTTGTAAGAGGATATATCGTCTCGCATATCATCCCATGAACCGTTGAAACTGTCTGGTCTTGTGCTGTTGGTTATGTTCCCATCGGTCTGAGAAGTCACTGGAGATTCTGTCAAAGTCGGAAACACTTCTGATTCTTCGATTAGGCTATCCGCTGGGGATGTGGATTGTAGAGTATCGCCATTTATCGGTCCGGGTACGGGGTCACCGTGATTTAAAGAGGAATATACAATATCCACTAGCTGTGGGAGCAGGGCATCGAAATCGGTTGAATCGCCCGCCAAAGCGAGGCCTACCTCGGCAAGCGAACCAAGCTGATCTATTTGCTCTTGGATCATCGAAGTAAGACCCTCAGAACTGTAGGGTGGTGGAGATGATGGTCGAGATATTGGTGGAGATGCTGGTTGAGATGTTGGTTGAGATGTTGGTTGAGCGTTCACAGCGAGGGTCTGCAGGGTTTGGTTGAGGTACTCGGGATGGAGATCAACACTGTGGAAGGAAGGAGGAGGAGCACTACCCGCTTCCTCTGACATGTTGAGAGGTGTGTGGAATTCATCGGTTGTGGAGGGAAGTTGACTTTGGGTGGGAAACGAAGGGAGATTATCCCCACTCTGTTCCCTGAGTGGTCCCGATGATCTTCCTGTTAATACATCATAATCCATCATCCCAGGTCCCTCGAGACGTTGAGAGGGGGATAACCAAAAGGGTATGGTATACTCCGCAGGATCGATTGAGAAGTTATATGACAAATTACCTAGGGATCCTCGAGACAACATGCCTGCTTGGAAAGGATTGACCATGGCGATCTCGTCGATGATTGCAGACATGTTAGGGTTAATCTTGAGTATTTCCGATAACACGGAAGAATTCATATCGCCCGATGTTAGAAATCTTCCCCCCCAAGGTCCTCCGAAAGGGGTCTCGTTAGTCCCGTCGAGTACACTTGGGAAGAAGCCCTCTTGTCGTGTAAATTCTGCATGGGGAGCGAGGGAACTATTGAAACTGAATAGATTGGATAGATTGGTTTGATTATCGGTGAGACCACCGACTTCGGTGAATGAACGACCGTCAACAGTGTTGAATGAACGAGGGAGAAAACCAGCGGCGATGAGAGTTGATAGAGGAAGTAACCCGACCATATTGTTGTTACTTACTCTTTCTCGATCTTGTCCGAGTCTTTGATCGTTCCGGTGTCGACGATTAGGAACCCCCTGTTGTGAAGGGTTCGAAACGTCTATGAAACCTGTTTGTCAGTTCAGGAGAATCCAGTGAAAAGTTTAAAATGGGTTATCAGCAATGATACGTTATAGAATGAAATTGAAATTAAATGAGGAAAGAAGTTGGTGGAACGTTGGTGAGTTACAATTCTTTTCACTCGTAGTGAGAAAGAAAGATGACGAGGGTACTGTAAGGTGGCGATTGTCACTTGATTTAATCCAAATAGCTAAGATGAATAGTCAGACTTGAGGCTGTGTGGGAAGACCTGAGAAAGATGACTGAGAGAGGAGAGAACACTGCCTTGGACAGGTAGAGGAGAAGGCGTGAAAGGATTGAAAGAGTGGTAGAGGTGATAGAGGGTGAGAAAGTGTAGGAATCACCGAAAAGGGGAATCTCATCCTCTTACGTCGGGAACCCGGCGATGAGGCGTGCGAACGAAGGGGGGGAAAGGTAGCGTAGTCAAGCTAGGGAAGGAAAGGGAGGGGAGGGGAGGGGGGATTAGCCCTGGTCTAAATGGTCAGTAGAAAGTTTCAGCATCTTCCATGGAAACTTCTATCATGACCTAGATCATAGACGACGATCAGGATAAGAGGAATTCTTGTCAACACGTCCGTCTTCATACAACCTTTTGAAAGGCTCAGATGTCGACTCGGTCGGTCGCAACCAGTGCTTATGTAAGTATGTACAGTACTTTGCCCTACTACTACTGATCGAGACATCACTAAGCAAACAGATAATCCTTGTGAAACCATCACACATTCCTCACTGATTGTGAGGAGTAAGTGACTGTCATGAGGTTGATGTAAGACGCGCCAATAACGGAAAAAACGCGGTCCACAACGTAGAAAGGAAGAAACCGAAAAGGAGAATGCAATATCATAGAGATCCACTCGTTATATCCACAATAGAGTCCTTCTGTCAGGACCAGACATTGAAAATAGTCTGCGTCTATGAGCTATGGCTATAGGGCCTCGCAGGGAACAAACCTAGTGATGTAGTTTATAGTCTAGTGATGTAGTGGATCGAAGAGACTATAAGTCGATGAGATCAAGTGGCAAAGGATTTGCTAAATGACGGGAAAATACATTCGACAAGACATCTACAAAAAAGGGGTGTTTCTATATACTAAAAGGGAGCGGAGTGATACCGAAATCGGTGGAGTAAATGTGGAATACGATATGGGGTGTAAGAGCAAAGGAAGAAGGAGATAGATGAGGGACACGGAGATGAAGGAAAAGTATAGCATGGTAAAGAACTAGCGATTAGGTAGGAGAGGAGAACAGAGGATGCCGTAGCGGGATTAGTGAAGCGGAGACGGGAGCGGGTAGGTGGAGTACGACTTCTGTGTACCACTCTTGAGGAACCCGTCTATAGGTACCCGTGATCCTGACAACAACGAATGGAGCACTTCCTATCTTAGGTTGCACATGAGCTGTTGTAGTTGTGACTTAGCTGATACAATGGGTTTTCGGCATGAATCAAAAACTCACTTCGGCTCGTTCACTCCTGCGTTGGTCAAATCTCTAACTCCAGGAGTTTGTCACTGCTGAACCAGGGAGGGACGATCAACAAGAACCCTATAACGGCTGGTGATCTCACCATTGATATGAGATGTCACGTAATATCTATCCATATTTGAAGAGATATGAACTTTGGACGGTCCAGAAACAAAACATTCCGTCACAAACGTTCCATACATGTTTGTTGTGCCTGCCGTCTCTAGCATTGTTCTTTCTAGCCATGCGTGTGTATCTCGGATGATAGTAAGCTCCAACATGTCCCGTACAACACCGTCAATTGGAACGCTGGGCCCGAGGCGGTTCACCATAGTATCTACTTGGATCAGAATCTGAGGTATCAAGTTATCTGCTGTTGTAAGGCGCCAATCACCTGGTTTGTCTAGAGTTATGGAACAGTCTTTTGGATACGTCCATGGAGCGGGTAAACTTCTGATGAAAATATAGGTAGCTGATAGTGAACTCAGCAAGTCTCTATCTCCATAGTACAGACTTTCCAATCGTCCAGTGAGACGTTGGAGAGTTTCCGCTTCCAGGAATCGAGAGTAGTCCGCCAAGTACACTTCCTGCATTGATCGATATCTGCGGCTGAATTGGAAGTAGATCTCTTCCACTGCCGAGCCTCCACGGATACTTTGGATAGTGTCCGCTGCCACTTTCTGAGAGTGTTTGTCAACCATGGCACTCCAAGACTCAGGAATTGGTCGCCTGTCAGCCGTCTCATTGCCGGAGTGGGGTGCGAGTGATGGAGGTGGTCTGGTATGAGCCGAAGTCCCTGCCTGGATGAATCCTTGAAGAGGATCAGAATGAAGTCGTGTATCAACTCGTCCGCCGACTATCAATCCGTCTGGGGAAGTAATCACAATGCTAGGGGGGTAAATTGAAGAGGGGACGGTCAGCGGAGTATTTCCCGTGTGATTGTCGAGGGACATGATTGTAAAGTAAGGCTTGTGACGTTTGGGATCTCTATAAGTAATAAAATACTGAATTTCAAGCGGCAAACAAGTTTATAACACGTTTTCCTTGAATTATAGACTTATGGTTTCAGACCTATGACATCTACATAGAAGACCTGAGATAAAAAGAGGAAATTGAGAAGAAAGGAACGAAGGAGGATTACGGAGCTGAAAACCATCCCGTTTCGGTAACTTTCCTCTTTCTCAACGTATCTTACCTGTCTAACCCAGTGAAAATGGCCTTCTAGGAAAAGCATAGCCGCAGGAAGGCTCGGAGGTTTTGGAAGAAGTCATGTATTGAGTTAGAAATTACCCAAAATGTGTAGAAAGATCGAGAGAGAAAAGGAATGAATGGTGAAAAGTCGTATCCGTGCGTTTCATCATCGTTGTCTAGACTTTCTTACTCGAAGAATGCTCAGATATCCTTCCGTTGTTCTCCCGTTGAAGGCCTTAACCCAAACAGGAAGGATAGTAGGATCATGCGATGCAGGTTACGTCATGAAACTGGAAGACCAGGGAGGTAAAAGTAGGTTAGAAGATGATGTCGGTCGAAATTGTATTCTTACCCTTCCGGGTTACATGTCGTCTTTCGGTTGACGGACGAGTGACATGCCAGGTTACGGTATTCTGTCTCTGTCTACTTGACTCTCTAAACCGTTTCTATCCCTGTCTAATGTCGAGACCTATCCGTAGCAATCATATGATCATCTGGGGTGAGTCTTTATCAAAAATAGTCGTCGGAGTTAGGTAGTACGATCACGTGTCCTCCTGGGTTGTATGCGGTAAACTTTGCTGTAAGTAGTATATAGATTGATTGCTACCTGTTGTCTCTTCATCACTCATAGGAAAGTGCTAAATGAGCAACAAGTGACGGACAGTCTTAACTCCGTCGGTAGTATGTTCAACCATGGCTTCACAATAGTTACCACCACGAACATTTGGACATCGTACGAACACGACGTGATTGTACCCCTTCGGAGGTGCGTACATAGGTTTGTCAAATGTACATTTCACGTCTTGCATCATGTACCTGTGTTAAACCGAAACGTACATGAAAGATAATGATATTCGTCACAGGAGATCCACCAACACAATACAATAATCATTGACAAGTTACATATGAAACACACCTGACTCGATGGTACACTACAAAGTCGAACAATCATCATCCAAGGAATAAATCATTCCAATTACAATTCTTCCACGGCTCAACTACTCTTCTTGACCGGTACTCAACTCTCAACTGGACATTCCAACCCCAGCGGCACACCCTTGTCCACCATTCACTCCATATTGAAGACCAGGAGAAGCTTTGACACATCTAGCCGTTCTGGTGTAATCGGCGGGGAAGTGACCGGGTGAATGTAGACACTGTATGTTATCAACATCTATCATAATCATCCGGTCATTTCAACAAATCTTGGGTGAGGGGGGATTTGAAAAGATCGTCATGAGTGAAGATTATTTTGTGAGGATCAGAGCGATTAAAGAAAGTTATGGAGATGATAAATGACCAAAAGTGAGAAGAGTAGATTAAACATGTTACTCACCTGGGAACATAGATATACACCCTTCAAACCGAGTTGATGGAATATAAATGGTCCTTTTACTTTCCCCTCCGAAGAACAAGGTTTCAGATTCCCATTGAGATCAGTATGTAGACACATACATTGATGTTTGACATGATGATGGTTCATCTTGCTTTGTATCGTCTTCCAAATCTCGTCCTGAATCCGACCGTGCTGGATTGTATATCGCCTTCTCAACTATCTGCGCACCGGAGTGCTATAATTTTCCAGGTAGAGGGGAAGTTGCTTCGGTGAAGGTTAACGGTATTTGGGGTTGAAGGAGGATGGATGGTCGGATATACCTAAATGTGTACGTGGGAGTATGAACGACCGGAGGGTGAGGGAAGATATCAGTGATAAGCGCCAAAGAACGGACTTGATCAAAGATGAGTTGTCACAATACGAGGCTGGGAAGCTAAAGTGGGCCAAGAGTTCAAGCAATGAATCGAGGTGGGTGTGTAGAGCAGGATCCCCTGAGTAATTGTCGTTTCTTCGATGGGTGGTCGAATGTGAGACTATTCTTTCTCCAGGCGACGTTCAATCCAGGAATGGTCAGAGTTGTGGGGATGGTCCCTAAGTGAGAATACCGACGGGATCGACTCAGAAAGTGAAAAAGATAAGCGAGGATGGGTATACGATAATGTGAACGATGTGAGATAACTCGACGGTGGTGATGGTTGGTTGGTAGGGACGGTTCGAAGGTGAAGAGGATAAGTGATCCAGTGTTGATTCAACGAATCACGTATTCACGTGTGTCGTTATCGGCCAAAATTGCAAGTGGTCGATGAAGAAGAGTAAGGACTGGTTGGTTTAATAGTCTGATAAATCAGCGGAATGTCCAAAATATCAAAGTGATATAGAGAACAAATTGGGAAAAGTTCTTTAACAAACGTGTTTATATCAAATTTTCTCAAACCACCTCAAGTCAATGCCAAGATGATCTCAAAAGGGCAAGGAAAAAAAGCTATGTAATCCACCCGACTTCCTAGAATTCTTCAAGGGAAAAAGAGAAAGCTATGTAATCCCCCAAACGTCTTCCAACAACTCTTTCAAAGGAAAAGAAAAAGCTATGCGACCCACAAGACATTCAAGTAATATGAATGGAAAAGAAAAGCTATGCGACTCACAAGACATTCAAGTGATATGAATGGAAAGAAAATGTCTAGACAATCTCCAAGAAACATGAAAGGATAGACCACGAAGTCGATACAAGTCATCCAGAAAAGAATGAAAGGGAAGAAAAGATGATGTAGCCCCATAAGTCTACCAAGTGATAAAAAAGGAAAGACGGAAAAAAAAGATGTATGAAATGAAATGACTCACGAGTCATTCGAAATGTGTGAAAATGGTTTTTAATGTTTATTTTTCCAACAATAGATTTTCTTAACACCAATGTCTCGACTGATCCTTTCATTATTTCTCAGATCACCCTTTCATTGATGATTCTTTGACTAGTGTGTAGTGGTGGATAGCTATTGCCAAGTGTTCTCTCATGTCTTCTGGTTATGATTCGTCGTATCGTTTATTCTGACGCTCGACTGACTCTTGGGTGTTTCGTCACTGTCGATGTTGTCGTCATGCGTTGTCGTTGGTGTCGCATCGCCATCGTGCCAAGTCTGACCTGTCTTCGTCAAGGATGACCGTCGACGGAGTTTCATGCTAGACCTGTTGATTCTTCTCTTCGTCCATATCACTAATGTTCTCCGCTCACCTTGACCGCTTAGCGTTTCTCATCAGCGAGGACGATGATCACTTTACTTCATTCGAGTCGATGTCACTTCTCATCGAACCCCACGTCCAGTTTTATCCACATCATCCCCTTCGCGTCGTTCCCTTGACCATAGTTCTCGGGACGAGCTTTAGTCAGTCTATGGTAAAAGACACGGACATCAGCCGCCCAATCGAATCCGCCTAGCCACCTTGACAGCAATCAGGGCGAGGGAGGGATGATGAGCTAAGATAAGCCTTCCTCACAGATATACTCACTCTACACCGTCATATCTTGTGGAACCACTACCATCGCGTCTGGGAGATACACACTCATCCTTACCTCCATCCAGCGCACTCAACCGACACAGGCGAACGCTGATGACGCCCAGGTAGTCAATAGAGGGATTCAGTATCACCCACAACATCGATCCGGACGATTGCCCAAAATCGAAATGAATCGCTTGAGAAAATCAGACTTGTATTTCACAAACGCTCTCGGCACAGGAGGGAGAAGACAATCCATTCAAGATGAGGATGAGAGAAGACGCAGTGATCAAATGGAAGATGGTTCACAGAGGTCTGGTATTGGTCAAACTCAGACGCCCTCATCAGTTATAAAAAGTGAGAGAGGATCAGTCCTTTTTCCGTGAGAAACTAGATGACACTCAACTGCATAAACCCCCCATTTAAGCGTAATCTTGCGCATCGAGTTCACCTAGAAGCATGTTGGTGTCTTTTGATCCTGTCAGGATGATCGGTTCTCTGTTCGTAAGCGGTCGTTCATTTCGTATCGTTCGATTTGTCCCGGGTGGTCACAATTCCGATATCCAGTATTGTGACAGGTTGATGTTGTTGATGTTACAACGGATGAGCAAGAGGAGCAATGAGGTCGTCTCAGTGGTAAAAGGGACACCCATAGACAAATTGTGGGGGCTAAATGACATCACAGGATACGCGAGATAGAGATGATGTCCTAGAGTGGTGTAAGATGTGGCGGAGGTATCGGATGTTCAGTGGAATACAATCGAAAGAGAGACAGAAGCTTATAGGATATTGACTGACCTAGGATGTAAATCCACTGCCGTTACCGTCCCCCTATGTCCTGGTAACTTGTATAAAATTCTCCCAGTCTCAACATCCCAAACCGTTACACTCCTATCCCCTCCCCCAGCGGCGATCCTAGCACCGTTATCATGTTTCGACCAAGCACATCGTATAAGAGCACTCTCGAACCCTGCAGGAGCACCGGTGAGGGATCTGTACACCCGCATAGGGTCGGCGGAGAAGGGTCGGACGTCGTAGATTATCAATGTGGAGTCGAGGGCGTAAGAAGCTAGGTAGTGGGTATTTGGGGAGAGGGATAGGGATGTGATCTGTAATGTCATGAGTATACTAGCTTGGCACTCATGGAGATCTGGATTTGGTACTCATACTTATGGGAATGGAAGTCGGGCAGGATGAAAAGAGGAGGGAGAGAGTGGGAGAGATGGATCTTCTTCTCAAGTTCCATGTTCTTCTTTCGGTTGGATGAAATGTGAGCATCAAGAAATACTCACGGTATCCGTATGACCCCTCAGGGTATACAAAACTTTATTCGTTCGCAGGTCCCAGACCTATGTGTCAGTCTGAACACACGTATGCTATTCTTACATCTGCAACTTTCCAATTCCATGATAAACTGACGGAAAAAAGCGACATTTTCACCCTTCAAAAAGAGAGACGGGACATAATCTGAGGAACGAATTGGAGAACCCATATCAATCTCTGTTGACGTGAGGGAGGAAATGAATAGAATAAACTCAAAACCCACCTTGATCTCATTATCCACCCCTCCGACAAAAGATTGATTCCCATCCCCACTCCATTCCACAGCCGTGACGGGACAATCCCTTCCATCATCAAACTCTGCCACCGGATCTTTCCCTTCCAAGCTCGGATCCCAAACACGAGCTATACCGTCGTCTCCTCCAGTCAGGATTAATTCCCTACCACCGGATATGGTGACGGAGAGAGAATTGAGAGGTCCGTAGTGTGCTGGATAACGTAGAAGTCGGTCGCCTGTTCGGAGGTCGGTAGCTATCAACATGCCGTCTGCTCCGCCCTAATCATTAGTGAATCTTTCAACATCGCTACGAGGTTGGACCCAGTAGAACTGGCAGTACGTTTGTAGCTGAACGGTGGATATGACAAGGGGTAGGAAAGGTGACGGGTATGAAGAGAAAGACTTACAGAATATATGACCTCTGAATCTAACGAATAAGCCATATCTAAAATGGCCATCTTGTGAACATTCGGTAGTATTCCGTAATTATCATGCGGTGGATATGTTCTCCATAATGCTATGTCTTATCAGTTTGGTATCGTATGAGGGAATGTAACTTACATATACTCCGATCCACTGAACAAGCAGCTAGGGTCTTTCCTGATGGATCGAATTTACATGCTGTTATCTCCCCCTTTGAAGTCAGTGTCTACAGAACGAGTGTGTTGAATCACACGACCGACTCACCCCATGAGCCCCACTCAAACTGACTATGGGAGCTTCCAATCCACTTGTCCTCTTCACACTCCTAACCAAAGCGTTCTTCATCTGACCTTCACCGGAAGAAGCTACCGTCATGGTCATATTCCTCCCGTCCATTTCATCGTCATCTTCAACCCTGGCCCGTTTGGTGAGTGCCGTCCCTGGACCTGGAGGAGGGGATTTCCTGACTGACATGGTGTGTGATTCCGACTTCTACTCCCGTCCTCTGATACACTGTCAGATGTTAGGGTATGATCCAGCTTTGGGGGTATAGAAGAGGAGAAGGGTAAGTATAGATGCACAGTATACAGAATAGGTTGAACAAAGTTGAGAAAGTGGTCAGAGGAAGTGTGAGTGACGTGGCATAACTTGTGCTGAGCCCGCCACGTGGGAGATGTTACCGGGATCAAACGTATCACCCCTCTGTTTGACCACCACCCCCTTCCACGCGTGTAGGGATAATCCCCCCACCTCTTGAATTATTTCCCCCGCATTTTTGCAATTCATCCGAAAAACCCCCCACTCAACCGGTTATTCACCCCACTCCTTCCACATTACCATCTTGGAAGCAGAAAAACCCCTCACTTGTTATTATAACCTCCTACCAAGGCTTGCTGCATATCTTCTAACCCCCAGGGGTTTACACTGTCCATAAATGTGCGAATTCGCAGCATTCGCGAAGGGGTTGTCTCTTCACAGTTGAATTCACATGTCATTCGCAGATCCATTCGCACGGACCCCGGGGATCAATCAACTGTCTTTTATTGGGCGTACTCATACTTTGAGCGCCTGGTAAACACTGGAGTATGCATATCTACACTTTCTGCATCTCCTCAGCTACGTTTTGCTCAGCATAACTCTTCATAACACTCATTCACACCTCATATCTAATTCGCAGCTCATATCTGATGACCCCACGGTCTTTAGCGCACCAACTTGTACTGAACGCTTCAGTTAAGCGAACACCTGGTCGACCAGCTCGAAAATACAAAGATCAGTCCCCAGGAACTCCCACAAAAGTTTCCAAGCGTCAGCTTAGTCAGGATGTTAGTCTAGGTAGGGGTAAACCTTTAGAAAAGAGAGACAACAGTGAGTTTATGAAATTCATTCGCGAATTATGTTATGCTGAGCCTGTACAGTAAAAGACCTTTTCACAGCTCAAGATACCTGTGATGTCCTGGACGCCTTTGAGGACTTCCCTTTTCACGGCTCTGAGGCTCATCAGCTTGAGCAGAAACAGCTGAAAAAACAACAAGCAATTGACAACGATTACATTGACAATGGTGGTGATATCCTTGAACAATTTCAGGACTTTGAATTCACCTTTGACCGACTGGACATGGAAGCAGATGTAGAAGAGGAGAAAGAGCAAGATAGACTGCTAGAAAAGGCCAAAGACGAAGAGCAAGAGGAACAGGGAGTAGCAACGGGGGCATGTTATGCGAATAACACTGCGAATCAGGGTAAGAGCTCTCTTTACAAGTTCAGGTGTCCAGATGCTGAGTCCCTTTAGTCTCTCCTTACCCTGCAAGGCCCCAGTCAATCCCCAATCATCCTGTTAGCAACATTCACACATCTCATATTCCCCATTCGCACTCGAGGAAGCGAAAATATGACTCTGATGGTGAGACCTTCTTCAATCACAGTATTCTGTTAACCTTTCGCAGTTGTGACACCCAATACCCGTGACCCAGACACTGAAACCGACACAACCACAACATATCTGCCCCCCTCTACATCAACGTCACACTTCTCAGGTTATGTGACAAGCATGTCCACCCTTTCACATCCTCCAAGCACGCAAAAGGTTAATTATACCTCAATTCGCGAGCAAGCTTTAAGGAATCGAGCTATCATTGAGATCGAAAGTACTCAGATTCCAATATCAATCCAGGAGCAGCAGCCATCCACTTTCAACACTGTACGCACAAAAGCAAGCCTTGGTCCTGGCATCACTGCAGTGAAGAACTTCTGTGTGCTTTCTGCGAATGATATTGGTCAGGATGAGCGTTACGAGGAGATCGAGGTAGCTTTCCACCTTATTCCTAAGGCTTTTGACATGATGGTGAGTTATTTATCACTGTGTTAAATGATACTGACATCCGTAGACACAGGATTACCTCCTCAGATCACAGAGAGTATCAGATCATATCAAGGTGGAGTGGTTAGATCCTCCAGGGCTTCACCCAAGTGACATTCGCGGACGTCACGCAGTCTTCCATGTCTCAGATGAGGCCTTCGCAAAGGGTCCTGATAAGTTGGTTTGGCGCTCGAGATTCAATTGCAGTGGTAGCTGCCAGCAAGTTCAAGCCCTACCTACCTCACTTCCAGCACCACAACGTCCAAAGAGAAATCTACGAAAACGACAGAGGAAAGAGGAAAGGAGTGAGGGACATGAGGGGAGTGAGGAGAGTGAGGCAAGGAATAGAAATGAAGGGATAGAGGGGGATGAGTGGGCTGAGGAGGATCAGGGGAGTCTGCAGGGCAAAGAGGATCCTGTGGAGACAAAAAGAACAACAATTCGCAAACGAAAATGCCCATTGTGTGTTGAAGTGAGTTATGACTTTTGTATAAAGATGAGTTAAGCTTATTTGCAGGTGCGAATGACTCCTAGAAGCATTCGCAGAGGATATTGCACAATTATCCAGCCATTACCTTCCTACCATGGGGATCCAAAACCTCTGAGCCTTCTCAGGATATCCTACCACATGCGCAATATCCTTCATGATGCTGCGACACTGGTCGGAACGACCGAAAGCCGCCTCAAGCTTCGATGGTTCACCAGTATCTCCAAGCTCCATCCTTATGCGACTTGGTTGTCTGACAATTGTCCTCATAGGATGCCCAAAGAGAGTGACTTTGCAACCGCCATACGGACAGCATTGAGGCAAGACAGACTGGACACTCTACCATTGGCAGCTATTCAAGTCCTCCACTCAGCAAATCCATCGACATTCCTGAGGTGAGTCACATTCGCAGAGCAGACTGGCCCCAGCTGACATCCAGTTGTGAAATCCCTCACGATCTTGTCCTTGGAGGAACTGAAGAGTTTCCCACCAATGCCACTTTCCAATTTGTGATCAGCCCCAAACACGCTCTGCAAACTGCAATTCGCCATGCTCACGAAAGGGGACTAGCCATGGACTCTTCTTGGAGGAACAAAAACGCTATTCGCTGTCCAGTCACCTTCCTCACCACTGTCAATGAGCACAATCACATGGTGCCAATGGCTGTAATGCTGTCAAATCATGCAACCACCGCGTCTTACACCCATCTCCTCTCTGTCTTTCGAAAAGCTGTGGAAGAGGAAGCAAAAGCTCTTGTGAATGGTACCTCAGAGGTCATCAGCGAATTTGAAGACAAGGAGATTGTCCTCAGTAATGCCATCCTCATTACTGAGGATGGCTTCTGGCCCCTCATGGTCATGATTGATTGTGATGCCGCAGAGCGAAACGCAGCCCAGACAGTTTTCCCAGGAACTCCTGTGCGTCTCTGTCAATTTCATTTCATGCATGCAGCAAGAGAAAGGATGGACAGACGACTTGGACGAACTCAGGTTGGTCGCGAGAAGACATCTAGGTTCCTCTCAGCCCTTCGAAAGTGTCAGAGGTGTGATGTGGAAGAGGAGTGGGAGGAAGTGTATGAAGAGTTTGAGGCAGATGTACTGGAGTTGTTGGACGGAGACGAAGAACATTGGGAGACCATTCGCACATGGTTGAATACTCAATGGTTCAGCGAAAGCTGGCGCAAATGCCTCATGGATTATGGTCTTCCTCGCGAACACACAAGAGATGGGCCGCTTTCTACCAACAACTTTGTTGAGGCAGCATTCAGGACTTTTGACAGAGTTTTCCTACAAGCCCGAGCCAATAAGCGAATCGATAAACTCCTTGCCGTTATTGTTAACATCTACTTTCCAATGTATCTCTATTCTCCCCCAACCTCTGGTCGATGTGATCCCGACATAACACAAGAGATCCAGAAGGGTCTTGAGATCTGGCAGCTGGGTCAGCTCAAGCATTGTGATTCGGAAGAAATACCCAGCAGCTTGGAGCCTCTTAAAGAAACCTTCACCATTGAGTCTGGCTTGCGAAAGCGAAACGCGCATTACTGTGGAATAAAGAAATCCAGTGATCGCGAATACTGCTCGTGTGGGTGGTTCCAGTCTAGAGGGAAGAGATGTCGAGGACTATGGGCTCTTCATTGTCTTACAACCTGTGGAGAGCTAGAGGCGTATGAAGGACAGACTGCAGCATATGCAACGGCTTTGCGAATGGGACCAAGGGAAGGGGTGGGGAATAAGGGAACCACTTCGGCACAAGTTGACCAGGAGGAATTGCGAAAGTGGTGGGGACACGATCCGACAGAACTTGCAGACCAACAGTGGGATACTACATCTAGACCCAGTGGCTGTCTGTTAGTCAGTATCGATTCAAAAGATCTTGATGCAGAAACACCAGCGAATGAGCAAGAAATCAATCCCCCCATAGGTCGACGACATAAAGCCATGCGTTCTGAGTCAGAAGAAGGCTGCGAGACCCCCAAGAAAAGCGAAAGTCAACCAACACAGCCCAACAAAGGTGGCCGGCCTGCTTCCAACAAGCCTCTACATCCGCACCGAAGTCAAAAGAAGAACAAGAGCAATATCCAGTTTCGTACTGAGCAGCTCCCCTTGCACGAAAGGCCAGTTGGGGCTAAGAACTACAACCAAACTTGTTTTGCTATCAGTTTGTTCCATATCATTCTGCGAATTCCATCCTTCTCAGCAGCTTTCAATGCTATCAAAGCCGAACTAAGGGTGGAAGTGTCCAGACTGGTGGTCATGCTGGAGAACTTCTTTGACTGTATCAATGTAACCAGGCGGATAGTAGATATACCCCAGATGCTCCAAATTCTCAGAGGTAAGTAGGTTTTAAAGGTGCAAAGCTACCCTTGCTGATCTTCGAGATGAAAGTCTTGTGGACCAATTTGAACAGCATGATCCTGTGGAGCTATTCCTTTACATTGCAAACAAGATTCGAGATAATGTCACCAACGATCCGGTAGAAGCTACATATGTCTTTGATGTCGATTGGCAGTATGTGTTTGCCCCCTGTGGCCATCGATTACCCGTTGCGAAAGGTGATTCCACCCATGAGCGATCCATGACAATTGTTCCAATACATCCAAGTGCCGTGCTAGGTTCCAGTTCGCACCAAACCAGTGTGGTCGACTTAATCCAGCGAAGCTTGACTAGAACATGCACATCACGACATTGCTTGGATTGTGGACGAGTTTGTGTCACTAGAAGTAAAGCTCAGATGACTCTGGACACCAACAGCAAGACATCAATCTTCATCATCAATGTGGTCTGGAACCTTGGTCCACAATCCAATGTGAATTCGGTCACGCCATTTGTTCTCAGTCCTACTTTGTCCGCTTCGCAGATTTCTGCTTTCCCTTCCACAACCCCTGGCAACAGCAACATTCACTTCTCCTTGAAAGGTGTTCTATGCCGGAAAGGTGCTATTGTCACTGCAGATTCTGGCCACTATGTATCCTTGATTCAGGAGAATGGTGTCTGGTGGGAGCTGGACGACGATCGAACTTCAAGACTTGATCTACTCAGTTCTGCTTTTCAACAGACTCGATTTCCTGTTATGCTCTTCTACCAAAGACAAAGCTCAGGAGTTACCACACCGCATCCACCACGTATTGAGAAAATCAACACTGCCAGCTCCCACAAACCTCCTGAACTACCTCTGAAGCTTCTATCTTGCTGTCGATTAGCAGGTGATACACAGGAGATATGGGAGCGAATGAATAAAGTTCCATGGAGGACCCAACAGTCTGCAAAACCGGTGATATCTGCCAAACCTTACTGCGAAGTTGTCCGTCTATCACCAGAAATCATTAGTAGTATGTCGAAAGAGCTATCACAAGCAAAGCCAAAGCAAGCAAGTGTGAATGGCAAGACCAAAGTTGACAGTCAAGCAAAGCTGTCTCTCTTTGGGGATGAATCAGCTATCTCTTCGGTGGTCTTATCTCAAACGCTGGGTAGCGAACAGGCATGGTATTCGAATTTCATGATATATGATATACTTCGACTTCTCTCAAAGTTGAAACTACAAAAACGTAGTAAAGGAATTATGAAGGATGATGTTAATTTATATCAGATGTTTACATTCTTGCATCTAGATCCAGGGAAGGAGTGGACAGGTCAACGAACAGGGGGTATTCCTTGGTCCTGCTTGGGGAGGACTGGCGAATGGAGAAAGAGAGTCCTAGTTGGTGTTGTTTCGCTGGCCCCTGATACTCACTTTGGAGCGATGGTCATCTTTGGCCCTCAGAAATTGGTTCTCATGTTTGATGGTGCAGGAGGAGCTTACAATTCGCCGGCTTTTACCAAGGTGAGCATCTTTCGCAGAGAGCAATGGTTTTTTTGTGGTCTGGTCTGATTTCAGCAATGGCCAGTCCTCTTGGATGAACGACTATCCTGGGAAGTTCAGAATGGACTTGCAACAGTTCAAGAGGTCTCTGGTTGGGTAATTGCTGCAAACAACAAGGCAAGTGGCTCTCTTCGCACGGAATTTGTGACTGAGACTACCAGGAAGTTCTCCAGGCCCTTGGGTGGGCCGTTCAGGTCGATTCGCACAGCTGTGGCCCACTAGCAGCTGCAGCTGCAGGCCTTTTGCTTCAAGGAATTCCTCCTACTGCAGCTGTCTTAGGTTTGAACAGTCCTCAGCTGACTCAGGCCGAATCAATCAACTTGCGAACCTGCATTCTTCAAGTGATTCTAGCTGCAGCCTCTCAAGATGCTGTGAATCAAGATCTGATATCCATCAAAATATGGAAAGAGCTAAGTCCTCATCTGCCTTCACTTCAAGAACTGCTAGATAGGTTGTGAGGTACACTTGCAGGTTTGTTGTGGTTCCCCAGACCTGCTCCTTTGTTGTATTGAAGTGTACTATGTATTGTCTGCGAACAAGCACCTTTGCTGGCTACCCTTGGGCATCGGTGAAAATTCTTCGTTATTTGCCAGCATGTATGGGCCTATTGAGTACATAATATTTCAAGTTGAAACACTTGCCCAATCAATTTGAGCATACCTTGTCATATGACCCAATTTTATAGCATGTTATGAAAAAAGTCCAACGTGGTCACCCCAGTATGAAGCTAGAGACACATAGAACAGCCTGCTACATCTTTCAGAGTGCTCTTTAGGCATGCTCCTTCAGATCCAAAGTGATGGGCAAATCAGTGAAATTCACATAGGAAAGCTATACTCTTGCGAAGATCAACATTATTGGAAAGAAATAGTCACTGTTTGTCATGTTCCGTGACTCCTCCTGCCCACTGGGACACATCAAAAGACAAGTTCACGTCAAAAATATGTTCTTTGGGGGTGTATCTCCACTTTTTGAAAGGTGGGCAAAGTAGCGAAATTCATGTTGGGAGTTGGTGACTCCCTGAAGTGAAGCCTCATATATTGGCAAAACCCCTGGAAGGGATCCAACCTCCCAAGTTATCATGCACATGAAATGGATCTTTTAGCCTTGTAAGATATACTTTCAGAGGTCTACTTCAATCCTGTATGCATGGGCAAAGTAGCGAAATTCAAATTGGACCATGGTGACACCCCGACTTGAACACTGACATAGTGGGTATGACGTGCGAAAGCAATAAGCCTTTTCTCCATTCTGAGCACAACTGATCATCTCATTTATTCACAATATGTACTCCTCGCACAAAAAGTACTTCCTGAAGTGTACTTTGACATCTTCATTTCAGTAGACTTACTTTCACTGAGCCACAGTTCATGTTGCATCTCTGAATTGATATACGGACCAACCAATAACATGTATTCTCTATTGATCTTAGTGCTGTCTCTCACTTGCTTTGCTTTCAGAGTTATCATTCATTGAATCTATCCTGAGTTCAGTACAAAAGTCAGGAGTCAACTATTTACAGAGTGTGTATACTTTACACACTCTTTCACACGTGTTCGCAAACAAAAAAAGGTGTTTTCGCAGAGCTATGATTGCATTTCGCAGAGCCATGAATCAATCTCACATTTCCACATTGGTGTACAGAACACATTAAGTGACAATGGTTGACAATATACTTACACAGCTTCCCCTGCTTCCTCGATACTCACAGCTTCTGGACCCTCCTCTATCCTTGTCACAGCTTCACCAACAGATGTCACTCCCCCGGTAGCAGGCACAAACTCACTTTCGCATTCGCGAGATTCAATGTTTTCCTCCACACCTTTGTCTGGAGCAGAGGATCTCTCTCGTTGTTCTTGAGAGCCAACAGGTTCAATCTTGATCCGTTGAGTGTCTTGATACTCTCCACCTTCCTGGTCATTGGGTGATGTGGACCTTACCTCTGTTACTTCTGTAAACTCCACCTTTCCCTCTTCGCCCAATTCAGCCACCACGTCTGGTAGACCCGCCTCTGCTCTCATTCTTGCAAGTTCTTGGATATAAGCGGCAGCCAATATGGATTGGTCTCTGTATCTGGCTTGAGTTTCCATTCTTTCAATTTGAGCTTTCCCCAGCTCTTCACTTAATCCACGAATTGTTTCCTCACATTTCTCATGCTTCTTGTGAATCTCATCTCTCTCTTTGACCAGCTGATTCTTGTCCTCAATAGCCTGCTGCACCACACCAGCTGCCTCCAGCAGGTTCTCACTGGTATTCTCAAGTTTGAACTCTAGCGTCCTGAATTTCTCATCTTTCTCAGTCACTTCCTTCACCATATCCTCCTTATCTTTGACAGCCGCAGACCAGCGATCACTGAGCACACTAACTTGACCACTTAAAGAGCTGATCTGTGCATTCTGCGAAGCAATCTGAGCACCCAAGTCGTTCTTGATATCTTCAATAGCTTTTTCACGATTTTCATTGATTTTGACTTGAGAAGTATATAGCTCTTCCATGGAGATAAGATGCTGTTTAACTGTTGCAAGCTCAGATCTTAGACCATCCTCTGAAGCAATTGCAGCATTGTAGCGATCTTGTAAGGCTAGAACACCTTGAGTTGCTGTGGTCACCCCCTGAGTCAAACGTCTACGATGAATGCTTGTGGATTGTTGAAAGTATTGGAACATTCGCGAGATATCGGACATGGCTGTCTGTGCAAATGCATTTTCATGTACAGCCTCAGTCTCATGGAAGTGATTCACCAAGTCGAAGCAAGTAGCTACCTCATCAAGATTGGTTGGTGGACGAAGAATGAATGGAGTTTTGCCTTGCGGAGTAGTCAGCGATGGAGCAAATGGTTTCTCGTAAAGTGGACCAAGAGAGGGTGAGGAAGATCGAGTTGGCGTGGCAGGGAGATTCACCGTGGGGGCAGGTTGAGAGAAGGAAGAACCAGGTTGAGAGGACGAAGCACCAGGTTGTTTGGATTGTGGTAGCTTGTTTGCAGGAACCACTACACTTGAGGCCAGAGGAGCAGTATCAACGGTTGGTCTTGCATCAGATGTCGAAGATTTGCCTTTGTTCATGTTAATTTTCTTCAACCAAGCTTCAGGGTCAACCCTCGAGGTTCTCTGAGAGGGACCAATAGCATGTGAAGAGGAACCAGGCTGAGAGGAAGGACCTGCAAGCGAAACCAACCCTTGAGCCACTTGTTGAGGGTTTTTGCGAACCACAGGAGCTGTAGCTAGTTCCTGTGAATGCTTGGCAGGAGATTGCATGCCTTTGATTCCCCAGTTCCCAGCTTCCAAACGTGGTACCTTGACTGGAGACTGATCAGGCTCATTGGCTTTACGTTTGAGTCCAGCAGAAACAGTGGAAGGTGACTTGACTGCATTGTCTGAAGCAATCTGAGCTGTAGAATGGAATAATGGAACGTTTTGTTGTTGGCGAACAGAAGGAAGATTCATACTGGTTCGCGAAGGGGTAGGAGTGACCATGGGAGATGAATGAGTTGCTTGCGAAGGAGTGGATAATGGCACAGGGGGTTGATTTGTAGTTGATTGTGGTGCCGGGAGAGCTGGGTTGGGTTGCAAAAAGGCAGCTGGAGGAAAAGGAGATGGTTGGATTGCTGCAGGTAAGGTTTGAGGAGGGGGAGGAACACCGTGAGAGAGCGAAAGAAGGGTGCTGGCTACTTCTCGAGACTTTCCTTGCGAAGACTCTTGCGAATTGCCTTGAGAATTGCCTTCATTGTTCCCTTGCAGATTCACTTGCCTATCCTCTTGCGAATGGCTTTGAGATTTTGAGGGACTCATTGTGATCGAGGGGAAAGAGGCAAACAATGGCTGGGAAGAGTTTTCAGAGGAAAGGGATTCATGTTGAGCTTTGCCTTGGCCAGTATTTGCGGCTCGCTCTTGGCTTTCATCGATGGTCTCGTCATCTTCAGCATCTGTCAGCTCGGGTTCTCCTTCAACGAAGAAACCCTCACTATTTCTCAGAGGCAATGGAGTGTCCCCCCGAGGTGTTCTCCTCTTCTCAACTTCTTGTTGGGTCTTCCATGTTGGAGTTGATCTTGGAGGCTTTGATCCACCAGCTTGGTTTGACGCTCGAGTGTTGTGAACTGGAGTTTTGACCGTTTTGTTGGTTGAAGAATGGTCTTTCGCAACCTCCTTGCCTTTCTTTCTCTTCTCCTGAGGTAATGGAGTCAAGTCCGATGTATTCCCACTCTCCATCACATCATTTACGTTTGTCTCCTCATTCTCCTTCTCTCCCTCGCTCCCCAACTCACTCTTCTGACCGGGTACCATCTTTCCTCTGACTGTGCAGTTCGTGAGATGTGTATCTGAATAGCACACAGAGCAGCTGAGAAACTTTCCTTCTTCCCAGCGGTCAACAATGGTGGTGATAAGTCCATCCCCTATGTTCTTGCAACGGATATTAGGATGTCTGTAATCAGCTAGGGATCCTCTCAATTGAGAAGTGGGATTTTTAGAGAGGCAAACTGCAAAAGGGGAATTTCAACAGAGAATGCTGCGAATGGGAACCTTCAAAAGCGGAATTGAAAGGACAGCCTGCGAAACTAGCACTCACTTGTAGTAGAAGGCTGCCAAAACCTTATCTCTATGACAATGGTGCTTCTTTCCGTCTTTAAAGCATAATGGGCCTCTACTCCCCATAATCCTGACACCTGCTGCTTGCACTTCTTCCCCATACACCTCCACAAAGCCAACTTTTCCAGCTTCATTGGGCAAAGCAGAAGACTGAGCATGCCACCACGGTTGTAAAGGACCGCCTAGTGTCTTCTCCTGTTCGCGAATAGCTTCTTCTGACTTCCACACAGGATGGTTCGGGCGAATATTCTCATGAAAGAATATATGAGCAGGCGTAAGTTCGACATTATCTGGAGGATGAGTAGCTGCTGTTTGCAAAACCCAATCGTCTTCGGTGCTGGGCCCAGCAGTGTTTCTAGCAGCTTTTGTTCGGGCGGCTACCTTCAATTTCGCATTTGCTTTGGTCTTGGTGGCTTTGGGAGGCATTATTGGCAGATGGTATATGCGAATAGTGAGAAGAATGAGGGAGAGGCAGCTGACAAGGTGATGTGAGGAGTAGGAAGTGATTTAAGAAGTAGTTTGAAGGATATTGGAAGAGGTTCGGGCGTAAAATTGACTGGTTTGTTGGTGTAGTGTGGAAACGAATTGACTTGCGAAAGATGTTGTTACTGAGTGTGAATGCTTTAGATCAGAGCTGAGGAGTGGATGTGTGTGTGTCTGTGAAGTAGAAATAGAGAAGTAGTTGAACAATGAAGAAGACAAGTGAAAAAACGCAGTGTTGACAACACAAAGGTAGAAGTTCATTCAACTTCTCTCTGTTACCCTGTCAGGCTCGCTTCGCGAGCTGTAAATTGATGCATACACATCAAGATGAAGAGCTGAACCTATCAGAGGTTATCAAATAGTGCATTCAGATGCTGGGGATAAGTTAACACATAGTAGACGGGTAGTCAGAGTGAGTTTACTCACTTTCGCAGGTTGATACTGTGAATTTGCGAATTGATGACTTTTGGTGCTTTCGCATGCGAATTACAACGCGAATTTGCCAGCAGGATGTCTAGTAGGTACTATGGGACATGCATGATTGGAAAGAAGCAGAGAAAAGAGCATATTGAAAGAGTGCATGCTATAGTCTATGGAGTGAGGTGAATAACAGGTTGGGTGAGGGGTTTTTCGGATGAATTGCAAAATGGGGGGGAAATATTCAAAGGGTGGGGGGGATTATCCCGTTTGCCCTTC